TGGCATCTGGGATGAAGGGAAGCCTTGACATGCAATGTCTGCAGTCAATAGCATGGTTGTATTGTTCTACTCCACAGACACATGGAGGTGGGTATGGAAAGCTATGAGGACATAGGTGAAATCCAGTGTTCCCATACTGGGCTTTGGGCTACTCCTAACCAGTAAGAACTCTGTTTTATAAGCATGAGAGAGACTTGGGGAACAAGGGAAGGATTTGGGGGCCACGCCAAACTAACTGAAGAAACTGATTAAAGTCAGACTGAGGCTTACATCAGTTCCGCAGTGCTCACACTGTGAGTTAAGGCTGTTGGTTTAGCCATGGCTGGGACTGGACTCCCGGGTGCCTCCTTGCCTTCAGGGCAGAGCAGGGGGGCTGGACAGTAATTAGTAGAGATAGCCACTAGGTGTCACTGTCCCACCAGCATCTGTCCAGGGAACGAAGTTGGCTGATGGCCAGCTTCAGGTAGGTGGAAAGGGTTTTTTTTGTTTTCATGTTCATAAACATCCAAGGCAGAGAAGCATCTTCTCCCATACTGTAGGGAGAGAGCACTGTTTGGCTTACTGCCCCAGACAGTATGAGTCTCGGGCTGTTGTGGTGCCAGGGGGTCTTTTTTGTGGCTGCCCTCAATGCTGATTGCTGGTTAGATTATGAGGAACTGGATCCTTAACACTGTCATTTAGAAGAGACCTTAGAGATCATTGAGTCAGAGTCTTAATTTTTAGAGAAGAGGCCCAGAAGGAGAAAGTCTTTCCCCTAGGACACATAGCTGAATAGAGAAAGAACAGACTTAGGCTGGGAGGTTCAGAGGAAGGTTGTCTAGTCCATCATGTCCCCTGTTTTACACCATGCTCCATCAACTACGCTCTTACCATTCATGGAGATATCATTGTATGCTGTGTTCTTTGTAGCTGAACAGAACTGGACACTTGTATAGACCTAAGATGCCCCGGCATGTGAGAGAACCAGTCAGTGCATGTATGAGGGGGCAGCAGAGCTAGAGAGCGGATCATTTCCCTCTCTTTGGTCAAGGATGCTTTGCCAAGAACATCCACTCTTTCTGAAGAAAAAAAAAAAAAAGGATTCCAAGATGGTGGGCAGTTTCACAGGCAATCCATTATCAAATGGAAGTGGTAGATACATGATCAGGCCCAAGCAGGTCCTAAGGACACCAGCAAGTTCCATGAAGACGTTGCCCAAATGCCTGTGTTTTCTACTCCTGTTACAATGCCTTTTGCTCTAAAGCATGCACCTATAGCCTCATGGGGGTGTTCCCTATGGCCATCTGACTGAGGAAGAGAAGATCAGGGCTTGATTTACTGATGGTACTGTACGCTGTGCAGACACCACCCAGAAGTGGACAGCTACAGGGTTACAACCCCTCTCTGGGACAACCCTGAAAGACGCCATTAAAGGGAAATCTTCACAATGGGCAGAACTTTAGCCAGTACGTATGGTTGTATATGTTGCTGTGGCAGTTCAGATGATACCAAGTATGGGTCCTCACAGAGGCTCCTGAACCTTCCTGCTGGGGCAGGTTCCTTAGGAAGGTAGACCCATGGAAGCTGCAACTGTGACCACCAGGGGGCAATATTTCATCACATTCTGCTTGATCAAGGCCCCCGTCTCTCAACACTGAAGAAAGTTACTTTGGGATCTTTTTAGGGACTAGAGTGTTTGCAATAACGTTCTGGGTGCAGAGAATGAATAGGTATGCCAGTCTGCACTTGAAATCTACCTCTCAAAGGTAGCCTGTCTTCCCTTTCACTCCAGCAGCTCCGGAGTGGACACTACTGTAAAACCAAAGCCTTCGTGTGTTCATCTACCTTGTGTGGGGTCGTTCTGTGGTCCAGAGTTTTTCAGGGTTACATTCTGAGAGCACTTTATGGTCTCAGATGGAAGGATACAGAGTTCCATGGATGCGGGCCACACAAGTCTCAGGAGAGCAACCAATGTGTCCAAACACATTTAGAGATGATGGCCTTGGGTCACGGTGTCAAAAGGTTGCCCACTGCTGCCTGTGGTTAGAGTTCCTCCAGTCTTCCTTTCCCTCCTCTGCCTTCTACCGGGTCGCAAACCTGGGCCCCATTGCCCATTCCGCATTCGTCTTTTCTGACGTGGCCAGACCCGCAGCCGCGTGCCATGCCACTGCCGCATTCATTATTGACCGTTCTGCTGGGATATTAAGCACTTTGGGCTTGGCTGGGGGACCATTAATCAACAGCCTTGTCAGAGTGATGGATTCTGGTAGGATTATTGCTTAATTAGCTTGTTTAGGGCAAGAAAATCAACCAGGACATTAGTTCTCTGCAAGCCAGAAGGAAAGGGGAAAGTGAGTAGGGGTGGTAGGGACCTCGGAGCTCTCTTGGGTAGCAGCCTGTGTCTCCAGCAGATTGGGGGTGGGGCCTCTGACCAGAGCAAACCTCCTGCTGGAATTCACCAGACATTTCTGCCCCCTCTGGCTACCAGAGCCCCGAGAGACACCCCATTCGGTGGCATGGAAGACCAGTTGTTCCCTGTGTCACTCAAGGACCACATCCATTCCTGGGGAGCTTTAAAAATTCAGACTCGCAGGCCTGGGTTTGAGTTTTCTCGATCGGAATCTTTGAAGATTTTTTTTGCTTTGTTCTGAAGACAAGTTACTCCAGACGGGTTTTTTGTTCACAACACCGTGTGGGAGCCTTGGCCTTGAGGGTTTAAGAGTTACTTAAGTCTGGTGAGTGATGAACAGGTCCGTATTTCTTTCTGCCAGACATGCACTTCACGTGGGGTGGGGGTGGGCTCGACCTGCAGCATCCCTACCAGCCTCCCTCCCCCACACTCTTTGGTTTCCTGTCTCTCTCAGCATTGCTTATATTGCTCCAGCCTTGTTCCTTGGCTTGCCTACCATTTCAATCTCAAGTCCCCCTTCCAGGTCTTTCCATCCCCCCTTTTCTCCTTCTTTCTCTCCATCTTCTTTTCCACCTGTGCAGGGGACTGTCTCTTGGTGCCAGGGACACTTTATACCCCTCTCTCTATTCTTTCCCGGCTGGAAGCCTGAGAATGGCTTTGCCAAGAGAATTCCAGATACATCTGCAGGCCCACCATCGAAAAGCCTGTGTGGTGTTTGGAAGGCAGAAGAGGAAGCCTCATTACCCAGGGAAGCTGAGTCCCCGAAAGCAGCTGAAATTGCACACTCAGTGTTTTTGTTTGTTTGGTTTTGGGGGGTGGGGGTGGGGACTCCTTCAGCTTTGCTTCTCCCTCAAACAGCAATGAAGCCGAACTATGTTCTCAGCATCTCCAGGTCCGTGGAAGATAAAGGCAGTTGTCATAGAAGGCGATCACAGAGGCTTTGTGTCGTCCCCCCCCCCCTCCCCCGTGCGCGGTGAGACTCTGGCAGGGCTGTGAGCACCTGGAGTCCTTAGCGCATCACACTGCCCTTGCCTTGGGGCCTTTCTTGACCTTTGCTGAGGGATGCAAAGAACCCTGAGAAGGTACAGCAAGGGAGCACGCTAGCTGGTCTGTCCTGTGCTGAGGGACTGGGGGAAAGGATCTCCAAACCCTAGACAGGAAGAGTCTATGTGTCATGTCATGGCCACTATGGCCCCCCTGAGTCCTCTGGAGCTCAGTGTGGCTCTGTGAGTCAGTTTTTCAATCAACTGACCAAATAACCTCTCCTCTTATGTCATGGTACTTTAACGAGAAAATTAAAGCCTGGCTCCCGAACAGAGCCTCAGGAGGGAGAAACTTGGTCTGAATTGTTGTGGATACCAGTCTAGTCAATGCCAAAGAGGCTTGGTTAACCCCAGGGCTGCTCACTGTGGACCCTATGGCTGCAAAACGAGCTGCTCTTTCTTGGTTCCTCAAACCCGAGCAGACTCAGAAGGGGCACAGGATATCAGGAGGCCGAGGCAGCCAAGAGCACAGGCATGCTGGATTTCCACATAGATATTCAGACAAAGTCACCTTTGACCTTCTTCGGGGATGGCTGCTTCAGTCTGTTGGATTTTCCCCTTGCAGCAGAGCTTATGCTGACCCACGGGTCCAATAGTTTTGCATGCAAAAAGATCTTATGGAACCGGGCAATCCAGCCCATTAGCCATTTCATTCTAAATTCCATTCAGGGGACATGAAATGACCAAGCACACCCTTCAGCGTGTGGATTAGGTGGCTAGGTTTGTTGTTTGTGCACTGGATGTGGTCACTTTCAAACGGTGACCTTGTTCTTGGCATGAATGTGCGTGTGACGGAGCCATCCTGGTCATGCCATCTGTTTTCTAATGGGGGTCTTCTCACAACGTCACACTCGGGAAGGTTTTCATCTCCCTGTCCTTTCCACACAGACACTTGCTGTTCCTATTGTGGTTTAAACCCAAAATGTCTCCCTAAGGCTCATGTGTGAGCAGGGGGCACTATTTTTGGAGGATGGTGGGACCCTCAGGTGGTGGGGAGGGAGCTGATAGGTATAGGTCTCCAGAAGTGGGTTTTGAAGCATAGCCTGGCTCCTGGTTCTGGTCCGTTTCTATTTCCTAGTCCAATATGGTGGGAGGGGACCTGTGCCACATGCTCTAATCACTATGAACATTGCTATCCCTTTCCCACCACAGTAGACTAAAACCTCACGGTACAATACGTCAAGATAAACCTTTCTTCCCGGAAGTTGTTATATCAGATACTCTGTTATGTAGATGAGGAAAACAACCAATACAATCCCTCACTGAGAGGTGCTTCCAGAGTTGAGCTCTTACACTGCATATACTGCAGAGCAGGGTCTCCCCTGGTTATTTTCTGAAATGACCATGATTCAAAATAACCCTTTGGAGATACCCACGGACCACACGATGAACGAGGAGGAGGAAGGAGGCTCCTTTGCTGGCTAGACTGTCCTTTCCCTCAGCTGTACTTTTAAAACCAGACCTAAGAGTCTTCTTTCACACCCAGAATCCTTTGCGGAAATTTTATTTTATTTTGCCATTCAGCTGTAAAACAACTACAATGCAGATACAAAAGAATGTCATTACCGGTAAATGACACTGAATAGACCATTCCTGGGTCACCAATGCGCACCTGGGGGTTGAATACACTGGGTCAGTCTGCTTTTTCCAAGAGATGGATTCTGTGAGTTGGTAGCGTAGGCTCCTTCCCTTCTTTCCCACAGGGGACATTTCCTGCTTTGTTTTCCTGGACGCGCCTACCGATGTCAGAAAGTGCTCTGATGACCTAACGTCCTTGGGTTTACCGGAGCCTGACTCAGCTAGCAACTCAGCCCAAGCTCTTGAAAGGCATCTTTGACTCCACTTCCAAGATCAGGTTTTAGCTGCAGACCTGCCACAGGAGGTCGGCACAGCGCCATGGAGGAGGAAGCCAGTTCCTTGAGTGACCACCAGGAGCTCGTCCTAGAGAAAGACATAGATGCTCATAGGCAAAAAGGTCCAAGGCAGAATAAAGAAACGGTTCCTTTCTTCAAGTAACCACGGAGGGAGGCCCAGCCCCGTTCTCACGGTGTGGACCAGCATAGCAAGCCTGGGCATTTCCTACTGTGAGAGTGACTGGCTCCCTCACCGGGTCCCCCACCCCCAGGAGATAGGGATGCTCTTTTCCTTGAAGTCCTCAGAAGCCGCTTTCCATCTGTTCTACTCTGCCTGCAGCTAGACTCCACACCAGGGCTCCCATGGCTCCGGGCGCCTGCGGTGCCATGACAGAATCTTGGAGTCAGCCCGGATCTGTCCTCCCTGGGGCGGACCGGAAAGGAAGCTCTGCCCTCTGTGTGCTCCAGTCTGCTGGCTGCGGACTTCTGCAGAAGAATGGCTTCTCTCAAGTGTACGTGGCTCAGACTGACAACCCTGCATAGATATTTCCCCTGCAACTGTAATGTGTCCCCGGCCACGGCAGTTAGGAGTCCCCAGTTCTCCTTTCCAACTGGTCTCGTCTTTCAAGACCTAAGCATTTGACTTTCAGGCTTTTCCCCGGCTTCTTAGATTTATTTTCTAGTAAGAATTTAATTTAACACATATAATTTGAAAACTCAATCATTACTACGTGCCACGAAGGAAAAAGGGCAGATGACGGTGTCTCTTCCTGTCCTTGGTTCTCCTCAGACTTGCTTTGGAAGCCTTACTCTACTTTTCTAAATACTCAGCTCAGACAGTGGCTCCCTCACTTGTCAATTTTAAATGCCCATCGATTTCTGTGATGGAAGATGGAGCTGGGTGTTCCTCATCCACTTTTTATATCTCTATCCTCTCTTCATTCTTCTAATATATTTATATTCCACTTTTTGTTAAATCAATATTTAATTTCTACTTTATTACAATTATATATGTACCGTTCACCGCTGAGTGAAGAAATACTCTTGGATCACATTTCCGTTCTTCTGTAACTTTTTGTTCTTCCAGGAGTTACTAATTGCCTCATTTTTTTTGTCTGTATAGTCTGTCATTATCTTAATAATTCTTCCTAAAGTCTCCAGCAGAATTTCAAAGCTTTCTGCACAATGAAGCCATCCAAGGAACTATTCTGGTTTTCTCTCCCCTCAGTTCACCCTTCTGCTCCTCCGGGGGACTGCTTGCCCTCTGTGCTGTGTCTGATTCTGCTAACTGTACTTTTCTACTGATGGAGCTCACGAGTCTGGATTCCTACCCCCACCCGCTGATTATGCTCTTTGAGGGTGCATGTTCATCTCTCAGCTGAGGACATTTCTCTTCCAAAGCCAGCTCAGAAAGCTGGATGATGATCTTCTGGGGTAACTGGGAACCACTGTATTTATATTTTCTTAGTGGGATCTGGAGTTCTCATGTTACCAGTGGCAAATCCAGACTCCCAACTCTTAATATGACCTCCATGGGAGAGTTTTATCCAAGCTTCTGATGGTCTCATCTGTTGTGTTACCAGTCTTCAACCCAAAGTCTAGCCAGCTACCTCAGAGGTTAGGAGAGATGGATTTATTGGGGTAGAAGCCACTCTGAGGAAGAGCTGATAGCAATCAGCAAGATCAAGGTCATTGCTGCCTATTTTTCACTGTCACAGAGAGTAGAGATTGCTGTGCAGTGGAAACTGGCACAAACACTAACGTTGTTAGAAGGTACTCTCCTGCCGCGTTGTCCGTACATCAACATGGATGCGGATGGCATTAGCTAGATGAGCCCTCAGTAAGATGTCCTGACCCTCTAGACTCTTGAAATCAGTTGAGATCAACATGGCCTCACCTGTCTCAATGCACTGCTAGCATTTCTGAACTTGATAATTTAACCTAAACACCACCTGCAATGTGGCAGTGGAGACCCATGCCTTCTTCAAAACAAACAGGTTGGAGGGGAGAGGAGAAGAGCAGTTCAGTCTGGCTTGTGCTTACTCACAACCTAAGCTAAGTCAGAAATGAGCGGGGGGTGGGTGGGGGGGGTGGGGGTGGGGGCTGAAGATGAGGCAGAACTAGAGGAAGATATGATTCTAACAAAGGTAGTACAAGCCAACCCGCTCAGCAAGTCTAGGGGACATGAAAGGCTTCTTGTATAGATTACAGAATGTGACCCAGAAACAGAATGGCCTGGCAACAAGGTTCCATTACTTTCTTCTCTGGGGAAGACGCTCCTGTCGTAAACATGACAAATCCTTTGCTTATTCCAGTAACAATACGGCTGAATAAACAAGACCCAAACAGTGACGATACCAATACACATACTAGCATGGGGTGGGGGGTGGGGTTTACAGGGTCCCGTACCTACACAAAAAACCTACAGGCAACTAATGACTTCTGGGGAAGGGAGAGTTAATCCCTCCCAGTGATGAGCCCCCTAACTGTTTATCCCTGAAGTCATACACTCACAATCAACACTCAACCGATTCGGCAGGTTGTGGTCATCTACTGGTACATTGATATATGCATAGATATATGTAATTATAATAAAAGAAGAAGCCATCAATTTGAGAAGGAATGAAGAGGGGGACATAGGAGGGGTTCGAGGGAGGAAAGTGAAGTGGGGGAGTGATGTAATTATATTTGAATTAAAATAAAACTTAAAAATGAAAGCACGACTTCTTTTGAAATCTGGGAAATGGTGACTGAATGATTCCCTTCCCCACACTTTGCTTTGTGCTCAGGTAGCAACAATTGAGACACATGTAGGCTTAGTATATAGCAGGGGATGCAGTCACCAAGCAAATAACTAAACAGGTATTAGCCAACTACAAACAGACGGAAGTTCCTTAACCTGATGGAGGGTATCTATTAAGAACTCAAAGGTAGCCGGGCGGTGGTGGCGCACGCCTTTAATCCCAGCACTCGGGAGGCAGAGCCAGGCGGATCTCTGTGAGTTCGAGGCCAGCCTGGGCTACCAAGTGAGTCCCAGGAAAGGCGCAAAGCTGCACAGAGAAACCCTGTCTCGAAAAACCAAAAAAAAAAAAAAAAAAGAACTCAAAGGTAAATGGGACATCCATATCACACTCCCTTCTCCCAAGGCTCAGGGGTCATCTCGGAAGAGAGGGCAGAGAGAATGCAGAAGCCGGAGGGGGTGGAGCATTGCTATAAAACACTGTTTTCCAGACACGACAGGGGAGTTGTTCCTATGAGCTCACAGAAGTGGTGACGGTATGCTCCAGACCAGCACAAGGTCAAGGTAGAGAAAATCCTAGCATGGAGTGGGAGGTGGTCACAAAGTGTCACCCCAGCTAAGGAGCTATTGGCAACTGGTGAGAGAGGGACTCTCCCAGATTGCTGAGAGAGGAAGAGTCTGTCTTCTTCAGAGATATGGCCCCTGAGAGGCTACTTGGGTTCCTAAGATGGTCCTACACCCAGGTACATATAGATAGCACTAAGTAGACTCAGTGGGTTTTAAAAAAGAACACATTAACTAAGAAGGGGAAAGCCTTGGGGAGGCATGGGAGGAATTATAGGGGAGGCAATGGGGGATGGATCTGATCAAAACACATTGTACGCATGTATGAAATTCTCAAATACTAAAAAGGGAAAAACCCATCATCCACACAAATATGCATGGTCCTGGACATACTCATTTCTGAATGAAATTTAGATGCAGTGTTTTCTGAATACTAAATAGACTGTCACCTAGACACGAACACATACAATCCAACCACTGTATACATGGCTGGAAAAGCACCATAGGGAAGTAGGAAAATGACAGACTTAGCCTTTAAATTGCCTGACTATTAACTAGCTCTGCAACCCCAAGTGAACGTCTCAATTGTAAAATGGGGACAATATCATATAGTATTTGTTGTAACATTAAAAACACTACAGTCCCACTCCCCTAAAGAAGAAATCTTCAAATTTAATATCATATGGAACAGTCAATGACTAGGCTTCTATGCCAAGATCAGGAATATAAGGATGCCTGGGGTTTTGTTCACTCATTTGTTTGTTTTTAATTTCTGTTCATAATTGTGGTAGAAGTCCTATTCAGGATGATAAATCAAGGAAAAAAATAAAAAACAAACAACCAAACCAAAACAAAAACCCAAAGTGATAAATGGATACAATTTGGAAAGTAAAAAAAAAAAATGAAACTACTTTCAGATGTGATTCTATATCTTTAAAATCCAAAGGGATCCCTTTAAAACCAGAGCTAATGAATGAGTTTAGATAAATTGTAATATGTAAGATCAGTATATAAAACTCAACGTATTGCTAAAAGCTAGCAATGGATAGATGAGAAGCGGGGCAAGAAAGCAATTTCATTCATAGTAGCATCAAAAGGAGTATAAAACCCAGAAGACAGTTTACCACAGGCACGCAGACCTTCCATACTGAAAACAGGAAGAGAAACTAAAGATGCAAAAATTAAGGTGTGTTCTCGCCTCAGTTCAAAAACTTATGTTGTGAATATGACATTTCCCAATTAATTTAATACTTAATGTGATCGCTATCACCCCCAGACCCCCAAGATAGGACTGGGAATATAGACTAAATCCTTACAGTATGATTAGTTGATGTTCAAAGAGAGCAAATGGAAGAGGCACTAGTCTTTTTAGCAGTGGGTTCAGAGAAAACCAGACATCCACGCGTGAAAGAATAAAGCTAGACCTCTTGCTATACAGAGGCAAAAAAAAAAAAAAATTACCTCAAGATAGTTCAAAAACCTAAATGACAAACTCTAAATTGTAAAAAATAGTTACAAGAGAATCAGGAGCAAACATTTGTGACTCAAGGCTAGACAGTGACCCTTGAGATCTACCATCCAAAATATAAATAACTAAAGGACAACAGATATGGTAGACTTCATCAAACCTAGACACTCATGACTGCCCAACACTGAAGAGACAAAAACAAAACAAAACCCCCACAAAAATACAAAGTGGGGAGGATCTGGGAGGAATTGGGAGAGGGGAAGTATGATAAAATATATTACATAAAAACAATTTTAATTAAAAACTAAATAAAAATTAAAATTAAAAAATTGAAAAGGCAACCTTAAAGAAGAGGAGAAAAATTGACAAAAACATATATGATAAGGGACTAGTAACTAAAATATGAAAATAACGCTTACAACTCAGTGGCAAGAAGATATTAATATATAACTCAATTTCAAAACGCAGAAAGGATTTGAACAGAATTCTCCAAAGAAAATATACAATCAGCCTATAATCAATGGGAAAGAGACTCAGCATCATTTGATATCAAGAAAGTGCCAACAAACCCACAGTGAGGTACCAGTTCCAACCCACAGAGACAGACAACACCAAATGCTGCTTAAACCCCCAGTCACTGCTGGTAGGAAGACAGAAAAGGCAAGCCGCTCCTCAGACTGTCACACAGAGTTATCATGTGATCCTTAAGGCCCATCCCTAGCTATATAGCCAAGTGAAGTGAAAACATACGTCCACCTCAAAGCTCGCTTACAAACATTCACCATATGATAATTAATGATAGTTATCACAAAGTAGAAATAACTTCAACATCTACCAGCTGTTGAATGATGAATCAACGATGGTGTAGCATCAATGAAATACTACTTAGAACTAAAATGGAACAAAGACTCAAGGCATGCTTCAATGGAGTGAACCTGAAAACATTACGCTAAGTGAAAGACACAGTTACTAAGGGCTGCTCATTTCATGATTCTACTTGTATGAATCACCCAGAATAGGCAAATCTACAGAATCATAATGTGGATTAGTGCTTTCCCAAGACTAAAGGTTGGATGGAACTGGGGAGTGACTGCTGGGGGGAGTATACATTTCTTTATATAGAGATGAAAAATGCTCTAAAATTATATCATTGGAATGGTCATGCAGGCCTGCAATTATACTAAAGTCACATGTTGCAACTTTAGTTTTGTTTTGTTTTTGTGACAGTGTCTCATCATGTAGCTCTGGAAGGTCTGGAACTCACTATGTAGCCTAGGCTGGATAGGAAGTGGGTCTTCTCCCCTCAGCTTCCTGAACTATAGGTTTCTAGGTGTGTACCGCCATACCCAGCTTGAACTTCATATTTTAAGTGGGTAAACTTTATACTGTGGATTGCATTTCCACAAACCTCACTAAAAATAAAGGGAGAAATTGGCAACAAGAAAACTACGTGTTGAGCTTTATAACTGGGGAAATGGATGTGAGAAATTTTATGGGAGTTGCCAGTTGGGCTACAGCAAGAAAGAGTAGGAGTTGGGCTACTAATAGCCAGGGCAGAGCAGACAGTAAGGTCTGAGATCCAAGGCTGGGAATAACAGAGAATAGAAGGCAATGGTATTATCTATGTTTGGTGGACATTGACAAAGGAACATGGTGTGGTCAGATAGATGAGCTGGGGCCGATGGTCCATAAATCCAGGAACTGATGTTAAGGACCCTAGAACTACCTTATATATCAAGGGGGAGATACATTGAAGGATTTTTAACTTGGGGAACGCAGTAAAAGGATTTGAATTTTTAAGAGTATAACTCTGGCTTCAGGAAATTGATTTGAAGGATATTAATGGATAAAGAAAAATAAGATCAAAAGCCAATGCAAAACTCAGGGAAACAGATTTATAAGAAATCCAAATTGAAGTAGCTTGAGGAGAGAGTAGGAAGTGAGGATGTGGAGACAATTAGTTCCTTTATGAAGTTTGGCTGCAACGGGAGGAGAGGGGAGGTAGTAGCTGGAAGGGATTATGAGGTGGGAGAAATTCAAAAGATACATGTGCTTGAATGAGGCTTAGAAAACCTGAGAGAGAGAGTGGTGGGGGGGAGAGTTTAGTATTCAGAAGACAGTGGAGAACACTCATTCAATCAGGCTCCTGCAAAGGTGATGGTAATGAGTTACAGAACACCCCCAGAGGGAGTTGCTGTGTGACAGAGCACAGGGGAAGGAGGGACTGTTACCAAAGCAGGTGGATCTGTACTAAACAGAAAGAGCTTCTTCATCTTCCTGCCTCCAGTTCCTCAGTGCAACTCATGAGCCATGCGTGAAGGGATATGTGCAATATTGTGATGTCCAAGAGTGGCTATGAACAAGGAAGAGGGAACACTCGCAGGGTAATGACAGGCGTTAATGCAGGAGATAATACATATGCACCTCACATTACACTCCCTCCTTGTACAATCTTCAGAACAGGAAAGTGGAAAAATCAGTGAAAAGAGAATTGGGACTCTCCAAAAGAGACAAGAGAAAATTCAGTGACTTTAAAAGTTCAAGGATGTAGACCCCATGTGCCAAATTAGCTTCAAGATACAATTAAAGAGTCGTTCTTTACATTAAAACCATGCAGACTGTGATAGGCACAATAAAATTGGAAATGATCTATTTTTTTAAAAGGAGTGAAAGGGGAGTTCAATGCAGTTGAGTAAAATTGACTCTTGTCAATTTGTAATCACTAGTAGCCATCAGATGTTCATCAGGAAGTACTGAAGCTCAAATATTATATCTTTATGCAGAGAACCTTCCTCCCAGTTTCAAGGCACACACATGATTCATAGATTAGACAAAGACTATTTTCAGAAGTAACAACATCTCAGAGGATATGGGGGTAAACTTTGATTATCGACTTGATTGGAGTAAGAAACATCTATGAGATTAGTGGGGTGCACTTTGGGGCGTGTCTGTGAGGGTGTTTCCGGAGAGGACTGACTGAGTGGGTAGGACATGCTCTGAATGTGTTGGGGAGGTACCATCCTACGAACTAGGTCCCATACTGAACAAAAAAAGGGAAAAAAGAGGAAAGCTAGTTGAGTATGAGAGCTCATCTTTCTCTGCTTCCTGACTGTGGATGCAAAGCACCAGTCACCCCAAGTTCCCACTGCCGTACTTTTCCTACCATGACATACGACGCCCGTTCAAACAGAAACGAACCCTTTCTTCTGTTAACTGCTGCTGTCCAGCATTTTGTCACAGCCACAGGTAACTAGTTCACAGTACCATTTCATGGAGAACCACCAGTAATAATTAAATAAGAGAGACTTTGGGTCAGGCAAGAGAGTGTCTTCAAGGGCATCAAGATCTGGTATATCTAGTCTTTTTTTTTCTACAGTGGTCTAGGGAGTAGAGTTTCTATGGATGCATGATAGAAATTTCCAGGGACCTAGATGCTTGTCTCTAAATAAGGAACCCATAGACTTGAAGATTCCCAGAAAGTGGGAACATGAAGTCTCAAGGTCTTCGGAATTCTAGAACACTCACTCAGCCAGAATTTCTGCTATAGCAGCATTGGGCAATGTGATGATAGACTGTCTGTAACTCTAGTTTGTTCCATAAAGGTCAAAGAGGAAATGGCAATGTGCTTGCTGCTGAGCACAGACTAGATGTATAAATGTGGATGGCTACACTATCCACTGCTGTCCAAAGCCAGTGAGGCAATGGTCGGGTTGGGGTGGCCAGCTCTCCTTCCCCGCAAGGTCAACTGTTCGTGTTGCTCTGCAGTATTCTATTTTCACCATTTCTAGTCCCTGTCTGGAATGAGTCATCATGCTTTCTCTTCGGAACATTAATTAAATGTTGTTAATCTCTCATTCACGACTTTCAGGCTGTTCTCTTTATGAATGGGTTTAGATGAAATCTGAGCATTTGGCCTTGAAACTCAGGAGCCATGAGCAGCGGGGCCTTGGCTCATAAAATAAGCTTTCTGGTGTCTCTGAGAGGCTGTGTCCAGGGAGTCTTCTGCGTCATTCACAGAGAAAGAGGGGCAATGTTCAGAGGAAGAAGACAGGACTTTAATGCTGCCATGTCTTACCTGGTCCAGAGGGCTCTGCTGGATTCCTCACCTCAGCCATACATGACTAGGTTCATCCACTGAGAAATAAGCATCATCGTTAGAATGAATATTTCTCTCCCCTCTCTACCCACCCCCCCCCGGGCATGAGTCTCATATATGCAGATTCACATGCATGTAAACTATGTGAGTTTCCTTACTTTTTAAAATGAGTCTCTCATTGAACCTACAGTTTACCAACTGGGCTTGACTAGTTGGCCAGCAAGCTTCTCGGATCCTCCTGTCTCCACTTCTCCAGGGCTCTGGAATGGTAGGCATGTGCCACTCTGCCTGGCTTCTTATGTGGGTGCTAGGCTTCTAAACTCAGGTCCTTATGCTTGTGTGGTAAGTACTTACTGACTGAGCCCAGACCCTGTGTAGCCAATTCTTAAAGCTTGTTCATTTAATGTGGAGCTGGGCAAATATACACCCCCTCCATTGGAAAATCTCAGTTCAGTATCAATGCATTTTCCCAGCTAACTCCATCTTCAGTGTTCTGTTCTAACACATCCTTCCCCCATACTGTCTAGGCAGCTCCTCTACAATCCTCCACTCTACCAACTGAGCAATTGAAGGGCATATATTATTTTCTAAATAGCCCAGCAGAGAGAGGTGTATGGGGGTTGACCAGCTGGCTGGTTAGATGGCTCTAAAACTCAGGCTTAATGTACGATGAGCTAGGTGGATTGTTCTTTACTTCTCCCTTGGATTTATGATTCCCACATAATCCTCGGCTTTATTAAGCTATTGGAAAAAAATAAAATCTCTCTGCCAAGATCCTAAAGCAGCCTGGCAGCCTGCAATATATAAAGGCAGTAATTGGAGGCAGCTCCCCCCACCCCACCCCCAGCCTGGCTGGCCTTGGACAGACTAGTCAATACTCTGGGGAGAAAAAATGCCCCCTGGAACTGGATCAGGAGAATGGAGCCTGGGACTGTGCCTGGTTCTGGGAGGGGAAGGTGCCTCACCTCCATTTCTGTCAGGTAGACTCCTCTGCCGTCCTTGGAGAGGTTGCGGAATGCCTCTAGGATAGAGGAAGAAAGGTTTTGACTGGCTGAGAGGGGGATCATAAGTCTCTGCTGTCCCCAGAATGTGCCTTTACTCTGTTCTCCTGTTTGGTCCGGCTCTATGCTGTAGGGTGGCTTATGGTTCTCCCCTTAGGACAGTTGCGATTATTCTCACCTCTCCTCTTCCAGATCCCATGTACCTTGTTTCCTTCTACTTTGTCTTGTGGGGGATGTATGGGATGATTTTTGTTTGTTTGTTTGTTTTTCCAGACAGGGTTTCTCTGTGTAGCTTTGTGCCTTTCCTGGAACTCACTCTGTAGACCAGGCTGGCCTCGAACTCACAGAGATCCGCCTGCCTCTGCCTCCCAAGTACTGAGATTAAAGGCACGAGTCACCATGCCCAATGGGCTGATTTTTTTTAAATGGGCACAGTTAGGGATCTCCCCAATCTATTTCAGGCTTTGCTTTCACCTTTTCAAGGTTCTACTCTTTCAGTCTTCACTCGGAGCCTTGGACTTTTCAGAAGTGCCCCATGACTGTGGAGGTATCAGGATTCAGGGGTGTTTCTATACCCCCACTCGACCATTCCCTCATTCCCAGCAGCTGTTTTGAGCTGCACTGTAGCTTGGGACTTCACACAAGGTTCCACTTAAAACAAGAACTATTCTGCTAAAAAGTGTGGAACCCTCTGGCCTCCATCTTTGGAGTTCTATAGCTTGAAGAAAGACCTTCTGCTCCCATGTAGTCACTGGGGCAATATCCCCTTGCTAGAGACTGAAATCCTTCACTGCATAACTAAAGAGTAGATTTAGTTCTACACATAGCCTGGAGAGGGCACAGGGTGACTTCAGTGGACCTTGTTCCTGAGACAGAGCCTGACTAGGGTGAGGAGGCAAAAAGAGAGTTGGGATGTAGGGACAGAAAAGAGTGTGGAAGGGAAGATGGGGACATGGATAATGGCACTGTTATTGCTTATCAGAGGCTGGTACCCTCCGGAATTTCCAGGTCCTCATAACTGAGAATTAAAAACAACAACAACAAAAAAATGGGTAGACATGTGGAGAAGAGCAAAGGCAGAGACACTTTACTAAGAAGGAATAGAATATGCCTGCGATGGTCAGTGTTAATTGACAGACTTGACAGAATCTAGAATCAGCAGGAGAAATGGGCCCTGGGCATGCCTGTGGAGGATTATCTTGGTTGTATTAATTGAGGTAGGAAGACTACCGCGGGTGGCACCATTCCCTGGCTGGGGTCCTGGACTGTGTAAGGAAGGAAAGGGAGCTGCATGGCAGCATGCATTCATCGCTTTCTTCCTGGCTGTGGATGTAATATCAGCAGTGGCTTCAAACTCTGACTACCTTGTCTCCCCGGACTGTAACCTGCAGCCATGAAGCAGAAAACAAGCAAACAAATGAAACCACCTCTTTTTCCTTAAGTTGCTTTGGTTGGAGTATTTTATCATAGCCACAGTGAAAGAGAGCAAGACAACTTCCAAGAGAGGAAGTAGAGCAGAACTTGGAGGAAGGTTGGAAGCTCAATGGCATGGTGTGAGGAGGGTCATAACCATCATTTCTGTATCATCAGCATAGCACCAGTTACCACACAACTTGGCATACTGTGGGTTTTTTGTTCTTTTTTCCTTTTGAGAAAGCACTACCTATCCCGTGTTGGCCTTGGCTGGGGGGTTCCGGTCTTCCTCTGCATCAGCTGGTTTCTTTCACATGTTAATCTCACAGCAGCAGTGTAAGGGTTTAGCAGACCTTATTTTCTGCCCTATTCCTTTCCACAATACTACTTGCAGTCTCACTGGCTGGGCTCTCTTAGATCCCGGCAGTCTCAGGCAGGACGGCCAGCCTGCCTACTCCTGAGTCTTCACCCAGGTCCTGGGGCACCGGTGTTTTCCCGGCCATCTATTGAGTTCATTGGTCACTGGGAAGGTCTACAGAATGCCCCTAGGGTTACTTACTTGCCATGGTTTCCAGTCGGATCAGGAAGCAGACAAGGCTGGAGAAGCTGACCAGGCCAGATTTATCACTGTAGCGGAGTATCATGAGACCCAGCAGCTCATTGCTGATGAAGACTCCTGAAAGGAAGTCTGCGATGGGAAGATTAAGTGGGTGAGCTGAGAGGAGACTGGAGATGGGGTGGTCCTCTGCCTCATGAGGCTCAATGAACCTGTTAAGACAGTCCAGCAGCCTTCTACCCCCACATCCCCTACTCAGTCCCGGGTGTCAGCCAGCCCCACCTCACTCGGGGTCTTGCCTTTTTCTCTTGATCACTGGCTAATGGACCTTAGTGTCACAAGCCTGCAGCTTGGCCAGAGACCAACTCAAGAGACTGACTATTCCTGTGAAGACACACCTTCTCTTCCAATAATTAGATAATCCCCATGTAGCGTGGAGTTGCCAGGATGCCTAAGGGCTGAAGTCCAGCCCTGCCTCTGCCAGGTTTCTCTTTGCTGGTGATCCTATTAAATGGTCTTCCAGCTAGATGTCATGGCTCTCTGTAAGCCCCGTGTATGGGTGCTGCTAATGGAGGCAGGTGTGGTCACCCTCCAAGAGGGAGATTCGGTTCTACGGTGCTCATCCAAGGAAACGTTGGGGCACAGGAGGGAGCCCACAACTCAGCAGGTCACCTCGGCTGGGCAGAAGATAAGCCTCTTGCCCTCTTTCTTTGGCTTTGTCACTTTGCATCTCTAGTGATAAGCTCCAGGGATCCAGGGAGACACCAACCACACAGTTGACAAGTGTGGAGTGGTCAAGCCGTTGTTGCTCTGGTGAGCAGGCAGACCCTTGAAAGCTGAGCCATTCATGCAGCGATGAGTTTGGCGGCCCATGGGCCCAATGCAGTTAGAGACACATTTGGTTTCTGCAGTAAAGCTGATAAGAGAGGAACCAGACGCCTTCAGAAGGGGCTTGAGTTGCCCCGATAGCCACCTGCCCAGCCTCTGAGAGCTTCTGAACTGAACTGGAAGTGTCCTCTACTTCACCCCCTTGTTTTACTCTGTGGTCATTAGGCTGCTCTGATGACTCCAATTTTAACTGGCTCTCCAGTGGTTCTCCAACTGTGACCCCACGAGACCCCATGTGGCCCCATGTCAGCCACAGACGTTACACCTTAGAACTTGCTAGAAATGGAGGGAAGCCTCGGCCTTTCTTGTTCTAGCAAGCCTAGCAGGGCACGGTGGGGGCAGCTCAGCTCTGAGCATCTCAGCCTTCTGCTCTGCTGCAGACCTGTGATGCTGAGGTGCAGCCGCTGACAGTCATAATGAAGGGGAGGAGCTATGCGCAAATGGAGAACAGTGTCTTATATTTCTACCACTTTTCATGCCAGGAGCATGGGAAGAAGAATTACAGAGGCATTCTTTCTGGAGTTAACCTGGGGGAACATGAGTCTACGGCTTATTAAGGAAGGTGGCCATTTCCTTACATAACCTTTATGTGATGTGTCTTCCCCACAGGTACAGTGGAAGCAATGATTCCTGCCCTTCCCCGCTCACAGCCCAGTGGAGACAATGAAATGAGATGGTGTGAACAGTTCTTGGTGAACTATGAAGCGCTTATGCACCCTGAAGTACTGTTAGCATTACCCCAGGATGGAAAACGTGGGCCTATTTGAAGCCAGCACACGCCATTTGGTTTAATTTAGCTTTGAACCTTATGTGAAGAGAGAGAAGAAAGATTCCCCAGCCTGCTGTGGGTTATTTAACCCTGACAGCCCAGACAGTGAGTTGGAAGCTTCTGGAAGATGAGCTCCATTCCTTGTAGGTTATGTGGTCCTACAGTCATGTGGGTCCTCCCTGACTCAGTCAGAGCTGTGTTGGAGAGAAAAGGTGGCTGAGGAAATTGACGGGGACAGGACTGCTCAGGCTGCAGTCGGGGAGCTCATATCTGAGTCTGGAGTGCTGGAAACGGATCAAGGTCAACGTAGGTAGGGAGGACACATAAGCTGGAGCTCTCTTTTCTTCCAGCTGCTCAGCCTCTCCATGCCAGCCTTGCTTATGGCCTGCTGGGAATATGGGCTTCCCTCGTGCCCCATAGCCTCCAGTCATCCAGGCTCCTGAGTCCCATGTTACCTGTACTCTCTATGACCTTCCACAGATCTGAGCTCAGGAGAACTCCAGGGCTCCTCTGGATGTTCTGGAAAACACGCTGATGGAGGGAAAGAGAAGCCAGTGAGGACTCAGAGGATGTAGATGGGAGAGGTTCTGAAAAATCTATTCCTCATCCCCAGTGGAGGCCTTACTAAAGTATGCAAGGAGCCAGCGTACACAGAGGTAGAGGAGGGGACGGGGCAAATGGGGACAGCCACACCCGTTAAGTCCATCAGTCTGGTCACAGCTGGGCCGGAAACGTCCCTCCTGCAACCAGCTATCCTTTCCCCTTCCCACTCCAGACACATGGGACATTTGGGCAATCTCTGGGAAAGCACAGGGGTTCTCTCTAGTCCAGGGGTTCTCAACCTTCCTAACGCTGCGACCCTTTAACACAGGTCTTCATGTGGTAGTGACTCCCAAGCATAAAATTATGTTCATTGCTATTTCATAACTGCAATTTTGCTGTTATGAATCGTAATGTAAATGCTTTTGGAGGCGGAGGGGGTGCCAAAGGGGTCGTGACCCACAGGTTGAGAACCTTGGCTCTCAAGCGTTTCTGGCCAGTCGTGGTTAAGAGCACAGATATAAAAGATGATCTGCCCGGGCTGAAGTTCCAGCTCAACTATTGACTGGCTGTGTAACGAAATCCTCATCAAGTTACCTCGTCTTTCTAGGCCTCAGTTTCCTCTTATCCAGTACAGGGCTAGTTACAGTGCCTGCCTACCTCCGAGGTTTGTTACAAGAAGCCGAGGAGCAAACATCTCTGAAGTACAAATCCATAAAGTGCTTGTCATTCACTAATTTCTAAGTGTGCATGCTCATGTATGAATCCTCTGCCTTGTACATTAGTGAGTGCTGCATAGAAGATACCAACAGCGGTTTAGAGCTGTGTCCTGGCCCAAGCATGGCCACAGAAAGCAGACCGCAGCCGCCACTGTTGGACCAACCACTCTTGCATTGACTGGAGACTTTTCTTCTCTCCCTGGTGCTCACTGTAATCCTGGTCCATGGCGCACTTCCTAGATGAGGAAACTGACCCTCAGGCAGGTGAAGTCCTGGTCTTGGATTAAATGCGCAGTTGCCCAGGACTGAGCACAAGAGTGCTTGACTGTGGTCAGTACCCTGCTGGCTCATGAGAGCTTTTCCATGTCCAAGTAGCAAATACCAGGTATGCAAGGCAAGAGCAACTGGAGCGGCAGCCATGATTATAGGATGACAGCTTGAGAAGCCCCCCTTGCCCTTATTTGGTTACTGGTAGGTTTAAAGACAGACTTCATGTGATTTCCATTACATTATCTCATTCATTTGGTAGCTGATTAGCTAGGTCATCTATTGAGCTATTCTGAACACTGCTGTGTCACATACACCGTGGAAGTCTCTGGGGAAAGAGGAACATGAGGAAGACCCCGCCCTGGAGGACCCAACAATATAAGGTAGGAGGAGCCTGTTGTTGTGGAAAATTAGTTGAAGATGTGTTACATTTGTTTATGCTGTGGAGCATTTGTTTAATGATGCAAAGATGTGTTACATTTGTTTATGCTGTGGAGCATTTGTTTGATGATGCAAAGATGTGTTGCATTTGTTTAACTCTGTGAGGCTGTGTTACTTTGCCTGTCTAAAATACCTGATGGTCTAATGAAGAGTTGAATGGCCGGCCAATAACTAGGCAGGAGAAAGAAATAGGCAGGGCTGACAGGTAGAGAGAATAATAGGAGAAGAGGGAGGAGCAAGAAAAAGGAGAAGGAGAGGAGGATGTGGGGGGCCAGCCACCCAGCCACTGAATATGGAATAAGAAGGAAAGAAAAGATATACAGAAATAGAGAAAGGTAAAATCCCAGAGGCAAAAGGTAGATGGGATAATTTAAGAAAAGCTGACTAAAGACAAGACAAGCTAAGGTCAGGCATTTATAAGTAATAATGTGTCTCTGTGTATTTATTTGGGAGCTGGATGGCAGGCCCCCAAAGAGCAAAAGAGAAAAGAATAAAAAACAAACAACTACAGCTTGTCAACCATTCTAGTGTCTGGTGAGAAGTCCAGTGGCCCCCTGTCAGGGATCAGATGATGCATCTTGGCATAGTCACACAGGGGTATTTGATTTAGTCTTTCAAAATGTTCAGAGATAGTGACATGATTAGACGTATTGGTGCCCTCTATTTTTTAAAAAGCAGCTTGTATGAATGTATATGTTCATATGATTGATGTATTGCCTTGTTTATTTATGCGTTCATTTGTTTATTTGATGTAGGGCTTCTCTATGTAGCCAAAGCTGGCTTCAAACTCATAATCTTCCTGCCACAGCTTCTTGAGTGCTGGGATTACAGATGTGCCCATCATGCCTGGCCATATTATACTTTTATTTAGTGTGTATAAATGTGCCGATTTTGGACACACTCTGGAACATATTAACTGGGTCTTAATACTTTCCCTTTGGCAAGATCATGTTTTCTTATTTGAGTTTGTTTTTTCTCTTCTATGTTTTCTATTGTCAATAGGCACCAGTTTTAAAATAAAGTTCTTTTTAACTACAAAATTTTAAGGTAGATAATGTGGCTTGACCTACAGGTATCAGCTAGGTGAGGAGTCAGAAAAGACAGTAATCAGGTCATAGGAACTGGCAAGAGAGACTTGACAGGGAAGGCATGTCCAAAGCTCCCTGTATTCTTAGGATGGATGAGCAATGGCCAGCCTTGGGGTATGGAGATGGGAGAGAGGAAGGGCAGGCCAGAGGAACAGAGGCATGGGGTTAATAGGGGGCAGCAAGCATCTTAGAGTTGGGTTTCAGAGCAAGTAGGATGTGTAAAAAATGACATCTTCTGGACTTAAAGTTAGAGGCTCAACTCAGGAGGTCTGTGTGCTACTCTGATGCATGTAGACTTTGTCCTGAGGACCATGGGAGGCCATAGGCCAACTGCATCTCTGTTGGTAGGTCTTCCCACAGAGGCACTGGGATAGGAAGAGAAGGGTTCAGACTAACGAATGTTTCCATATATATCAGGGCAGTTCTAGACACCGTCCATGGTAACCTCTTTCTCCAGCCTCCTAGAACATTCCTCATCCTGCCTCTCTGTCAGCACTTCAGCCCTCGGTGGCATGTACATCTCCCTAAACCAAATGTGACGTGACTTTGGGGATGAGCTGATGCTTCCCATCCTTTCATACCCCAGTGTGGGACACCCAATCAATATTTGCTCACCTAGGTTAAATAAGGGCATTAGTCATGTCACAGAGAGCGTGACCATACCTGGCAGTGGATAAGACGACTCCATAGTCTGGCAAACTCGTCCTGATCGAGCCGCCCATTCACCTTCAGCTGGGGGAGGAGTTAAGTGCCACACAGTCCAGAGGGCAATGGGGAAGGGGAGTTGTTGGTCCCGCTAGCAAAGCCAGAGCATCTCTGTCCTTCAGCTGTGTAACCCAGCAACATGTTGGCCCCATGCCAGCTGGCTCCCGCTCTATCTAAAGGTGACCTGCTTTAGATTTGTTTCACAAAATAAAATGGATTGTTACAAGGATGGCTCCCTGAGAAAGAGGCATCAGTTTTGGTTATAGCCAGCAGAAGAGAGGGACCCCTACCCCTGCCACGACATGGCCTTCACCAGTTGGGCTGGGTTCCCTGGCAGGGGAGGGTGGGGAGGAGCATGCAGGGGGCCTTGCAATGCAGAAGTAGTGTGGACAGGTAAATGTGCCATCCCTGGGCCATGTGTGTAGCTGGGGTGCTTCCCTGGCTCCCCCTTATAGTAGGCAACTAATGCAGGAAAGATAATGGAGCTATGAGAGCACCCTACCCTAGCACTCAACCCCAGGGGAGGCTCTATTTGCAGTTCCACAGCACAACACAGTGCACGGGTCTTTTCTATCCCTTTCTTTTCTTCCCCTAGCTGGGTGCCCTGGCCACAGGGCTGCAAGGGCCATTTGGATTCCTCTGTGCCTCTGAGTGACTCCAGACCACAGCCGGCTAAGACAGGACTGATTTATGATTCCATCAAGAAGCCTTCTTGTTCTACAATAGCTGGCTTCGCATTCACAATCGAGCCTTGTTAACCAGTGTGAGAGGGGGTGATCTGTCTCCCTCGGGAGACAGCCACAGCCTGGGGAGGAGCTGCCAGGCTTGGGATCCATCCTATGTGGCCAGTGTCTCTCCGGCCTGGGTAGAGGTTGGGTAGAGGAGAAAGGCTCCTTGGAGAGGGTGTTAAGATGAGAGACAAGAAATTAAAATTTGATTTCTGGTCCTGTTCCTCGTGGTCACGGAACTAGGCTAGCTAGCTACCAAATTGCCTCAAGGTCACCACCAACTCATGCAAAAAAAAAAAAACCACCATGTGAGCCACAAGGGGGTGCCACTGCTGTGCACTGTAGACAAAGGAGGTTTGAGAGTTTCCAGGGGTTATCTTTTTACATTGGTGGCCATCTGAGTAAGTGACGATTTCTCCAGTGTTGAAGGAAAGGGCCAAGGGCAAAGAGTTCCAATTGGAGGACGTAGTGCAGGCTGACGTTAGAACACAGACCTTGGAAGCTAAAACTTTTATTTCGAATCCATGTATGGCTTTCAACTAGCTGTGTCACCTGGGCAAAAATACTTGACCTCTGTGACCTCTGTGTCTTTCACTGTCCGATGGGATAAGGGCTGTTGAACCACCGGGGCTGTTGTAAGCATTACGAATGCATTTCCTTAGGATTCCCGGAAGTTTGGTCAGTAGTGGCTACTGCTATTGCTGCTGTGATGAACTAAATTCTAGAGTAAGTTGGGGAAAAAAGGCACAGGATCCATGTGCTGATCTATAATTAGAACCCCAGGTTAGCCCTCAGGGCAGGTGGGTTCCTAGGGCAGCAGGAGGGGGTGCCTGCAAAGGATACATCCATCAGAGCCACGATGCTTTGGCACTGGTCCAAGGAGAAAGTGTCCCCTGGAGACCCTGTGGAAAGAGAAGGGACTGAAGGTCCACTGAGGGTGCCCACATGGGAAACAGGGCCGGAGCCAGCACACCTCTGAGCTGACATACCTGTCAGGAACTCCTGGTTGAGAAGTTTCTGAAGTTGGGTGGCATCAATGTCCAGCCCCTGGTCCAAAACACAGGAGAAAGATGGGTGTGAGATGGGAATCGGGAGCCAAGGGGTAAATCCACCCCACTCTGTAGCAGCTCCCTGATGTATAAACCTTTCCTTTCCATAGCATGTCTACCCGTTCTTTGTCCTGGGCCTGCCCTGGGTTCTGGCCATGTTGCTAACCCCCTCCCTGACATCCGTCATGATGATTGGTCCTGACACTGGGCTCCTGGTGTGGGCTCCATCACATTGCTTCCTTCCATTTATTACTGGACAGAAAGCATACTTCTTCCCCTTCTCAGAGTGGCTGGCACTAGTAGATCGCCTTCAGGAGACCATCTCAGGATAACCAGTGCAGCCCTTTAGGTGTGTTCTCCACTTCTAGAAGGACCGTGAGAAGATGTGATAATATCATGTATGCCTGTGTGTGGTAACAGGAGTTAAATATACTCAAAAGCCAGGCTACTAAAGCTGTTATCATGGAGCACAGCAAGTAGTCTTCCAGGTACGGAGGCTTTCCTTAGATGAAAAGCAGAAAGCAGCTAAGGTGGTGGGTAAAGAGGTTGTTTTCCAGGCCTGATCTCAGGAGGAGGTCATGGTACTAACCCTTCCCTGCAGACAGGCACTGGGCAGCCTGGTGGGCAGTGTCTTTGATGATAGTTTTACAGAGAAGCATGGCTGCTGTACTTGGGGGAGCTGGCACTGGAGTACGGTTTCTTAGTGGGTAGACTTGGAGAGGGGCACTCTTTGGGGTATCCTGAGACCAGCTCCTTACAGATAACTGCCCCCGCAGACCCCACACACTGTCCCTTTCTCCTTTCAGGGTTGGCAGTACCGCCTGCCCTGAAAGCAGGAACAACCCCATATCCTGTCATTGTAAGGACCTACAGTGAGAAGCACAAGCCTCTCAGATGCTAGTGTCTCATGCTGGTCCTTACGCCATTCTTCTAACCTCGAACAGTTTGCAAATATCAGGGAAGTTGGCTTTATGTGCCCAACATCAACTGAGTTTTTCTTCCAAAGAATCTTGCTCAGAAGTTGATATGCTAAGGAGGGACTCGTCTTCATGGAATTGACCCCCAGCCAACAAGCTGAACAGAGCCATGGACAACATCTGCTTCTGTCTCCATATTACCCACCCAGGACACACTTGGACCAGGACCCCACATTCTGTCAGTCACCAGGAGCATTTGAGGAACTGATGGCCAGGATGGCCATGGTGGTTGCTCAGACAAGTTCCCTAAGAATTGTATGTATGAATTATGGGACCCTCAATTGAATTCATAAAGGATGGGGGTTAGATTTGCTCTGTCTAATCCAAGGGCCCAAATGCATGATTCCTTTCTGGCAAGCAGGCCTGGTTATACCATCCCCACTGCCATGGCTAACAAAAACAGCTCATGGCAATGGGTGCTGATACATGACTGTACTAACAGAGCTGGTTAAACCAATGGGAGATATCAGGAGGAAAGAGACAGTGAGCACGTGAGAAATGGCTTTGCTTAAAATTTCTTGGACGGTCACAACCTCTGAGCATAGCTTTCATGTTGTACAGGATGCTGCCAGAGTGCCTTGCTCCAGGATGCCTGCCTGAGAGGTGACCTAGGCACAAAACTGTATTAGTATCTTATTCTAATTCTGACCAGTGTCCAGTGCCAGCAACAGTCACTGTAGGGGGAGCCAAACATTTGGCTGTCTCTTGGAAAAGTCCTGATTAGGGAGCCTGTGCCATCCTGTCATATGACAAATTATATTTTTATTTTCGAAGTACAGGTACATGGACCTGTGTGAAAAATGTGCCACCTGCCCTGGAGAAGCTTGGTCTCAGGCATCCTAATCAGGTCCTGCTGGCCACCTCAGAGCAGCTAATCCAAGCTTGGGTGTCTGCTCCAGGGGATCTAATCTGTCTTAATTCAACCTGACAGAAATGATTGAGCACCTCCTCTGGGCCAAGGACAGTGATCGGTTGTTTGGGGACAAGGAATGCATATGAAGTCGTCTCTGCCTTTGGGGATTCAGACAGGGGACAATGGTCTTCTGGGTCAGTCTTGTTTCAATAAGAGCTGGCCTGAATTTTGGGCTAATGCCGATGGACTGCTCTTTGAAGCACTCACCCCTCACTCCAGCTACACTCTTCATCTGCACCCCCCTCTTTTGCCTGTGGGTCCAACCTGTACCTGAGATACCACTATGCCATTAGCCCTCTGAGTACAGAAGCACGGAATGGCATCCTTCCTTTCTCAGCCTCTGCTTGGCCCACGGTACACAAAATCATCTGTATCACTTTCTGCTTCCCACACCGACACCGTTATTAATGGTAAAAGGCCCATCCCACGGAACCATTGGCAGCTCTTTTATCCTGAGGAGTCAAGGAGTTCTTTATAGCAGTTTATTAAACCATTAGGAAAGCCCCATGTGCACATAGGTGGCTTGGCAGGAGTAGAGCTGTTGGGGCTTTTTGAAGCTGGCCAGCTCTCGGGAGGAACAATGCCAGGTTTGGTGGGGGGTGGGGGGGGTGATGGCCGAGCCAGAGAAAGAAAGATTTCAAGGGGTGCTGCCAACTGCTTGTCTAAAGGCTTAAGCCACAATATATCCCTTACACACAGCCCATAATTATCCTCTTCCTTCTTAAGCTCTCTGTTCCAATGGGATTCCACCCACATTGGGATATCACTTGTCTCTGGAGCTCGGCAGCCAGAGCATCTGGGGACGGTCCAGGGACAGAAAGTAGCTGATAAGATCAAGCCCTCTTCACTCTGTGCATTCCGGCAAGCGACTGGAGAAGTCTCTGTCCCTGGATTCCCTCCTCCCCCGACCCCATAAGTAAGGTCCATGGGTGTAGATAACATACCTGATCCACGTATCTGTAGAAAATGCTTTTTGGGGATCCATTTTCTGAAAGACTTCCCTGGATCAAAGGGAAAATAGTTATGTCATATTTCTGGGGAAGAGGTCACTTATCCAGTACAGCTTTGTTTTCCTAAGAGCTGGTCTGGTGTAATTAGCTGAAGGGTATAATTAGCCTGACCGGAATCTAAGATAGAAGCCTCCCTCACTTGGTGGTTGGAGAGGTGCGGTGGGGGAAATCAAACTTTAAGGGGATTTGAAAACTAAAGTTTGTTAGAAGGAAGAAACTTGAGTCCAGTCTGGTCTTTTGGGGTTGACCTTCTCTTCTGCCCCACTCCTTAGAGCTACCAGAAGGCTGTCATAGCATCTCTGTTTTTCCGGTCAATAGCAAGGCCAGAGGAGGAGAAAGAAGCCCTTGCGGGGATGTGATGTAGCTAACACAAAGACAGCAAACAGGACCTGCACACCTACCTTAAGGGCTCTGAGGTTGAAACTGCTGCTCGGGTTCCTAGAAAACCAGGGGAACAGTGTGACACAAATGACCTGCACTGTATTCCCAGGAGTCTACCTGTGGAGGGCACCCAAAGGCACCTAACATCTTCAGCAAGGGTGAGTAGAAGGCAGCCATGGCAATAGACAGATAATGATCATATGGCCATTTGAGGTGGACATAGTCTGGTTTGCTAGCCACTGACTTGTGCATTCTGAGATGCACATGGACAGTGACGTCTACTGCCAGGATGCAGAAGACTTTTGACTCATTCTCCACCCTGAACTGGCAGTGATGGCCACCCTTACACATTCACTGTTAATATATTAATATCTGACTATAGTAACTCCTGCCTCAGGCTCCAAGGGACAGGACTTTTTGATCCCAATCTTGACCCATGATTTAACATTCAAGACTCTGTAGAATCAGAGTCTGTTTTTCAGGCTACTCTGGCTTTCTGGTCTACCCCATATTCTGGCCATGTTTCAGACAAGTGAATGTAATACATAGTATGATCTTCCCATGCATATGACTAACAATGCTTATTCAACAAGCCCTGTGCTCTGCTACATCCCTGCTTCTTCTCAGCTTTCTTTCTTTCTACATGCATGGTCTTCTCTTGAAGTTACCAACGTCTGTTTACCTTCAAGGACCAGCTCAAGTGCCATTTCCTCTGAGAAGCCTTTCCCAGTCCCTAAGGTCAGAAGCAGTCCCTCCACTCTGTCCTTTCATGCAGTTTTACATTGCTGTTGGGGTCAAGTTACAGGTTCACGGGCTTTCTCATACCCCACCGCAGTGAGCATCTCAAGAGCAAGACTCGTATTGTGTCCTTGGCACACCACGTTCTGCATATGACACACAGAGAACTGCTCCTGAAGACACACTGGGGTAGAATGAAACACTCAGGAACCCAGCGTCTCTATACCTGTCCTTGTCTGGCATTTTGAGGAATATTCGGAGCAGGAACTCAACTTCTTTGCGGTGTGCCGAGGGGACAATTACATAGGTCCCGGGGCTCAGGTGGAAGGACTTGGTGAAGTTGCACTTGGATACATAGTCTATGCCCTGGGCGGCACTTCTAAATGGGGAGAAAAAGGCGGGTGGCAGTCTCTCCTGGAACTGCTGGAACTAGAAGAAACAAGATTATTGTGAGACACACCTCTCCATACATGAAACCTGGCACCAGGACCGGTCGCTGCGTTCTAGAGTTCTAGACCCTTCTCTGCTCACCCAACCCAGCATTACAAGTCCTGGAAAAGCAGACAGTGGTGGCTCAGACCCAATATTAAACAAACGAACAACAACAACAACAAAACCCCAATAGTACCTTATCTACCATGTGTGTCCCACCTGTAGTCTGTGGGTCCCAGGATAGCCAGGGATGTGGCCCAACACATTTATCGATGATAAAAATCATGTTGCAATGTCAAATGGTTGGACTTGGCAGATTCCAGACCCCACAGTGGATGTACAAGTATTTGACAGGTAATTTTATCTCACTAATCTACTAGCATCCTGGGGTTCTAGTTTTCTTTCTTATTTATGTGCAAAGAAGACATGGAAATTAGTGGCAGTGTTCCAGTGTTGAATTCCTTCTGGGGTCCCCACAGCTACGTCTCCTCTAAACCTTTAATCATATGCGCTGGGCTGCCACAGGACCGCAGGGTTGAATTTGCCTCTCTCCCTCGCTTTCATCTCTCCAGCAGAGCCTCGGGATTCCTTCTCATTGGAAAATAATGGTTCTCAATCATTTTCCTTTTATTTCAAATTTTCTTACAGATAAAACAATAAATATAACGCGATTCCTATTACCAGATGTCACATACATATTATATAATAAAAACCCCTTACTAAACAAATTTTCCTACTACATGTGAGCATGGTGATTCCATTTAGAATGGCTATACAGCATGAAATGGTTATTGATGGGCTCTGCCTTGGGGGAAGAATAGGGGGAATGTGGAAGTTCCTATCAGGGGATAGGGCTAAGACTAGGCAGGAGGTGGGCCACTGCCCTAGGTGTACAGCAGAGGGCAAGTGGAACCTCCAAAGCAGTTTTGCTGCTCTCAACAGCAGCCCTTTGTAAGTTTGGGGACCTGGTTTTCTTAGGTCCTTTGACAGAAGTAATGGTAGGGCCAGTTCTTTTCCAAAAGGGCAGCTCTGACCTCTGGCACTGGGTGTAAATGTGTGTGCAGAGGTGTGTGAACAGCCTTTCTCCTACAAGCTAGATTAGGATGGCCTTGGTTACCTGCTGCCCTCCCTTCTACCACAAATATATGGTTTTTGTTTTTGTTTTTGTTTTTTTGAGACAGGGTTTCTCTGTGTAGTTTTGATGCCTGTCCTGAATCTCACTCTGTAGACCAGGCTGGCCTCGAACTCACAGAGATCCGCCTGGCTCTGCCTCCCAAGTGCTGGGATTAAAGGCATGTGCCACCACCTCCCGGTCTCTGCCCCATACTTTTGCAGCCCTGTTCAGCGCAGCCTTGCTCAGGGGCAGTGAGAAGTGTGACTAGGGAGTGATAGGAGACCTTGGTGTAGTGTATGGAGGAGCCTGCTTCACGCAAATTCATGGCCAGGAAGGTACAGAACTGGCCCTATTATTCTAGTGGTGGGGCTTGTACCATTTTCTCACTCAAGTCCCTGCTGTGTTTTGTGTTCTCCATTTCAGGGAACTGGAACTCTGATCCATTCCATTCACTTGAGAGCTTCCCTTAGAACCCTTCTAGATGTTCTCCTATGGCTGGGACCAGAGGTAGATCCCAAGCCCCAGCTTTGTGGCTGGGCCATGGCTAAGGGTCAGACCTCTTTCCTGCCAACTTTCTGTCTGTATTTTTGGGTCTCCCTGCTCTGGGAGCTGCTACTCTAGACACTGTCTACTTCTTGGGACCTTGTAACAGCCTTGGGCTAGGGCACTGTTACCATTTGCTGTCTATGGCCACATCTTGACCCTAGTCCATACATTGTACCTTCCTCTTGGCAATAGAGGAAGGTTACTGCAGACTTCACAGTCATGACAGGCTCTGTGCCTGTGAGGTTGTACCCTCAGAAGTCCATTGTCCCTTTCCATCCTTCCTTATAGCCTTCAGATCTTGTATCAATACTTGACCAGATCAGGTCATTGGATATAAAGAGATATCCACTTGCTTATTTGAGAAGAGATAGGGTATATGTCTCGAAGCTCTATGTAGCCAGCAAGTGCTAGATTTGGGGACAAAGTTAATAATCTAAAGGTCCTCCCTAGGTACCCCTTACTCCTGCCATCATCTCAAATGCACAGAAACCCACTGGGCCAAGCTTCTCTAGGAGGACCAAATGCTTCAGGATGTTTTCACCACTGCAGCCCCTCTTGGATGTTAAAGAGGGACACCTAATGGGGTCCATCCCACATACCAACATAACAAATCCTGTCCTAGTTTGTTGACCTGTTTGGAGATGCTGACAGCTGATTCAAGAATCAGCCAATTTGTGGACTTGGGGCACGTGGAGTCCCCAGTGTTGGAAAGAGGCATAACAGTTTACCAAGGGACAGCATCAGAAGTGTGGGAAGTCAGTGAGGACAGCAGTGGGCCATACCTGGGAGTCTACCTGTGGGAGAGAGGAAAAAAGGGCTTCAGGAAGACACACCAGAAAGACGACTGGGTCTCTCATCCTAGCGCACGGCACATGCTACTTCTTGTGTGGCCAGCCTGTCTGGTGTATGGGGTTTGTGTTAGGGGTGGGGATAGGGTCTTCGTTTGTGCTTTGTTCTATTGCCAAGAGGAAGGTACAATGTATGGACTAGGGTCAAGATGTGGCCATAGACAGCAAATGGTAACAGTGCCCTAGCCCAAGGCTGTTACAAGGTCCCAAGAAGTAGACAGTGTCTAGAGTAGCAGCTCCCAGAGCAAGATATAGTTATTGTTCAGAGTTATGATGGTAATACAGAAGGAAGAGGACACCAACAGGACCACAGATAAGACGTAATCTCAGTCAAGTGCAGATTTCCCAAAGTCAAGAGCAAATCCCTCAATAAGGAGGGCACCGATAGAAGACAAGTTTGATCCCCACCCCCAACTGTAAACATGACAGGTGTTTGTTCTGTGTATACTACCCTTCCCGTGCAGGGAATGTATGTGCACATATGGATGGCGGGAAGCACCAAGGACAGAGTTCTGTTTTTATGCCCCTCCACAATTTTCAAAGTCCTTCTGTGTGATCCGCTGACTATTCAGCACAGTCCTTTGAACAGATGCTTGGGTCCTGTTCCACATGTGTGGAAACAGAGGCTGGGCAGGCAAGAGGCAGAGCAGGGAATAGGGCAAGCTGTGTTGCTTCCTTAGCAAGGAAGTCCCCCTTCCCATCCAGCACAGTCCTGCCCAGGTAGCCTGGGTTTTGATTCCTTTGCACGGGGAGCTGGGGTGCTACACATGCAGACTAACCCCTTTGTGGGTGTGATCAGACCCATGTTAGCCATAGATACCGGGAGGGAGGTGTCAAACCCTGGCTTGTGGGAGGACCTTTGAGGAGTGGGGTTGAAATAGCATGGACTCTTGTCCCTTTTCTCTGTCCTGACTTTTTCCTGCCTGTTCACACACCGCTGGTATCCAGTTGATACAAGACAGAATAGTGTGCCCACAGCTGCCGGGGAGGCTCACACTAAGCTGGGAACCCTATTTCAGCTGCATTAGCATTATAATCGCTCAGCCCTAGGGACTCCCATAAGCCTGGATGCTGGCAAACTAATTGTTTCTGGCTGGAATGCAAAAAGAACCAAAGTATCTTTTTTTTTTTTTAAGATTAAAAAATTTACATATATGAGTGTTTGCCAGCATATATGGGTATGCACTAAGTGCATGCCCAGTGTCCAAGAAGGAAGAAGGCATTGAAAAGCTTGGAACTGGAGTTACAGACAGTTGTGAGCTATCATATGGATACTAGGAACCCAACCTAGGTCCTCTACAAAAGCAGCAATCACTCTTAACCACTGAGCAATCTCTCCAGTCCCCCAAGATTCTTATGAGATCTAGACTGGCTTTGGCATTTAACTCAGTCAGAATCCTGGAAGGACCATTGAGATCGCAGGAAGCCTGAGGAGGCCTCTGGTCTGAGTGCACTTTTGGTAAGTGTCAGCTTACCACAGAGATAATGCATCTCTGTGCCAAGCGGAGAAAGGAGCTCGGGAGAATTTTAAAGATGGGGTTGATTACCACCTCAGGATAGCTCCTGAACTATAAGCGTGTTTGTCCATTGGTTATGGGTGGAATCATCTAGAAAATGAAGCTCAAACGGGAGATGAGAGCTGAATAAGAAGACTCTACAGCTAGACACGAGCCTACAGACTGACCTATATGGCTACTTTTGGGCCAAGAGATTTGTTGTAAATGACACCTGCTTCTTCCTGCCTTTTTTGTTTAATTATTCAGTAGTCGGGTATCGGCATGAGCAGGTATGTGTGTATAGTGAGGTGGCTGGAATGGAGGTGAAAGGGACACCCAAGTAGAAACGCCCAGGTCACAAAAGCTCTCCTTCTGCATCCGAGGCCTGGAGACAGGGAGTTATTTGGCTTTTTTTAGCTACGGCAGTGGAAGCCCACGTACTTCCTCCTACCAAAGAGGAGGCAGGAGCCGGATGGAGGATCAAATGACACTTGTTTACCATTGCATCCTTAAAGGATGCTCTCTGGTAGTCTTGGCAGGCCTGGGGCAACTTAAGTATTGTACTGAATCCCAACAATCTCTTCTGTAGGGACTTTGACTCTTAAAGAATTAAGTAAAAGGGGTAGGAAGAAGCAAGAGTTCTGAACTATGTTAAGAGAGTGGAGCCCAACAGGCTCTCCTTGCAAGGTCAGAAACTGTTTTCTCTGGTTGCTCTGGGTATCATGAGAAAAGCAAGTATGTAAGCCCTGCTAAGAACCCTGGGCCTGGGCTTACAGGTGCTGAGATCAAACTTTACCCATCACCCCCAGCTGTTGGAAAAATGATTACTCTTCTCTGAGTTCTGGATTTCATATCTATGAAAGTAGGGATAGCCATGGTTTTGAGATACTAAATGAGAACACGCTTGTGACTCTACAGTGCCATATCCATGAGACCTTCTCACTAGCTAAAGACACAGCTGTGAGCAGGACAGTTCTCCATGAGCAGAGGAGGCAGAAAACTTGTCTGGCCATGAATGGGTTGAGGCCCATGTGTTTGAAATTTACTTTGTCTCAGTGAGCAATTATAGTTGTTTGGGAGGCTAATCCCATCTCTAGCCTAGTGTGTTAACAGACTTCTGAGCTCTGTGGTACTCTAAAGGTGACAGGTGTGTCTGACCGAGGGCTTGAAGGGCATCTGGTGCCCAGTCTCAGCATCACCATTAATGCTGGCATGCCATTTCACACCCCGTGCACTGGTTTCTTCAACTCTAATGTGAGGAGATATACTACTAACGTCACAGGGATGCACAGTCTTATTTGTACAATGAGGCTGTGGGATGTGAGAATCACTCACTCTACCTTTGGGATGCTTTAAATTTCTTGGGAGAAGAGGCAGCTGAGCCATTAGACTTGCTTTGTAACTTTTTTCTTTGAAATGAGTTCCTTAGTTATCTGTCTCGTGTGTGTGTGTGTGTGTGTGTGTGTGTGTGTGTGTAATTTTATTCAATGATTTAAATTTAATCAATGATTTTCAAAAATGACACAAGTAGGCAGCCTCTGAGGACCTTGTTAAAATGCAGATCATTTTAGACTGCCCTTAAAATTTTGATTCAGGGAGTTTGGGACTGGCTCAAGGATCTGCATAATTCTAGAAGCTGGTCTCCTATTTGAGATACAAAGGCCTTCGATTGTGAAGCATACCTGAAAGGCTGTACCACACCAGTGGCACAGGTAAGGGGTATATGCCATTTAAAAGATGGGCAAGAGGCTGGAGGGATGGCTTGGGGTTGAGAAAAAATGCTGCTCCTACAGAATTCTGTTCCCAGCAGCTGCACAGTACAGCTCACAACTGCCTGTAACTCTAGCTCCAGAGGGCTCCAACCCTCTTCTAGACTCCATGGGCACCTGTGCTCACACATGCACACACTCACACATAGCTACATACATAAGAGAATAAAAATTTTAAAAAATTAGTCAAGTCTGATTCTCCTTTAAATTTTTCTTAAAAATTTAGAGCTGGACACATGAATGCTACAGAGCCTTTGAGCTTTTACTACTAAATCTTCCAGGTTGGCCAGCATCTCTATCTAGTTCCAAATGTACATAGTGTCTCTGAAGAGCAAGTCCCCGAACAGATCGAACAGGTTGCATACCTTGAACACCTGGAACTGTAATGGAAATATCTCCTCTTCTGTGTTCAGGCTCTGTGACATGATTGTGAAGGCCACAACAACATTGTTGCCGACTGTGGGCTCTTGAACACCAAAGAGATACTGAGTATCTCTCGCATGTCCTCCTAGAAGAGAATGAGCCATTACTAGAGTTCAGAAACACCACAGGGGTCCCAGTGCAGTACTTTATGGACTTGGGTTTTAATCTCTGTTTGAAAAGCTAAGGCCTGGGTCTGCAGAGTCACAGTTAGTACTTGTGAAACAATTTCTTTATATTCTGAGCCTCAGTCTCTTTCTCTTAAAAATAGGGAGGGGAATATTATCCCTACTTGAGCAATGTCTTCTATTTTTATTTTATTTTATTTTATTTTATTTTTTTTTTGGTTTTTCGAGACAGGGTTTCTCTGTGTAGCTTTGCGCCTTTCCTGGAACTCGCTTTGGAGACCAGGCTGGCCTCGAACTCACAGAGATCCGCCTGGCTCTGCCTCCCGAGTGCTGGGATTAAAACCGGGCGGAAACAAAAGGAGAAGAGTTTATTTTGGGCTGGAGAGATGGCTCAGCCGTTAAAGGCTAGGCTCACAACCAAAAATATAAGAGCAATGTCTTCTAAACTAAACTATAAATTCAGTCGTGTGTGTGTGTGTGTGTGTGTGTGTGTGTGTGTGTGTGTGTGTGTGTACACATTTGTGGAGGCCAGAGGTCAACCTCAAGTTTCATTTCTCAGGTTCTGCCCACTGTTTGGTTTTGTTTGGTTTTATTTTGTGAGACAGGGTCTCTCAATGGCCTAGGACTTTCCAGCAGCAGGCTAGGCTTGCTGGCGAGTAAGCCCCAGGAACCTACCTGTCTTCACCTCCCAGTACCGGGATTATAAGAGACCACCATCGTGGCCAGCTCTAAGCGCTATTTATAAGTACAATTACAGAGTCTCCAAGTATGCATGGACTTACTGTACTGGCAATAACCATGAGAGCTTTGAATGGCATCAATCACCAAGCACCGGTAAAGATAGTAGGAAAGAGGTGGTAGGAAGGTGGTCTACAGTGCTCTTATACCCAAGCACGCTTAGTCAAGCCAGAGCCACGAGGAGAGCTCACATGGAAACTACTAGACTCAAATGCATAATGCAGCAGGGCAGTCAGGATCTAGATGAGCGGACATTCTTCAGAAGGCATGGGTCACAACTAGAGAGCTCTGGAGGATGAGCAGGGACACAGAAGATGGTGATGGTCATGGCCTTGCTATGATGAGGATTAAAATGCACTCAGCAGCAGCATAGAGCAGGCACTCAACTGCTGCCTTCCTTCCTTCTCTTCCTTGTAAGGTATTGCTGTAAATGGTCTTGCTGTGTAAATCTGGTTAGTTCACTAACGCACGTTACAGCCAAGGAAAAGGGCTTTTGTGGTGTGGTCAGGCAGGCACCGCGTAGGGAGATGCGTAAGAAAGAATGACTCAGCAGTTCCATTTAGTCTGCACGGCCTCCTTGATGATAAGGCTTTCAGAGTAAAGTGATCAACAGAGCCTGGAGATAAAGAGTGAAGCCTACTTTAAGGTCTGGCTGGGGTCCTTCAAGAAGACCTTTCTGGACAGGTAAGCGTAAACATACATTCTCTCACACAGCTATGCTTACAAAAAAACCTCTTTTATGGAGGATGTGCTATCTCAGACCCTACGCCACAGGAAGCAGTTCCAGTTATCGGCGTCACAAAGGGGACATGATGGACAGTGAAGGGTCATGATAGAGGTGCCTGCCGTCGCTAACTCATGAGCCGGACAGGACTATTTACCCTGTGTCTTGCTGGTGCTTCTGTGGGTTCAAGGGGGTCAAGCAGGGATTACTATTAATACTCTTTGCCACTGTGGAGGCTGAGGACAGAGAAAACAGTGATATTCCCGGGCACAAAGCTAGTGTGTGGACAAGATGATGGTTTAACCAGGCTCTGAATTCCTTTCCCAGGCTCTTTCCGAAGTCTTCCCTCCTGTCTTGGGTGTTTACTGGAAAGCAGAGAGCCAGCTCTCTACCCTAGATGTGGGTGGAGCTGAGTAGCAGGGTGTGGAAGCCAGGAGAGGTCATTCCCCCACCCACCCCTACTAGCAGCCATTGTGTTTGGGGAAGTGTTAGTTGGCCCTAGAAGCTAACTCCTTTGCTTTCTTCAGCAGGCTAGTGGTCTAACCAGAGGTGACCAGAAGAGTCTAAGCAGAAGAGTCAGAGACAAGTCAGGGCAGAGCTAGGGCTGACAGCTGCTGGTCCAGCAGAATGACCACCTGCCATGTTTCCCGAGATCACTTGGTTCTTAAACATCATTTGGCGCCATCTTTCATTGGGTGTGACTCCATGATCCGGGGTGATGGGGATCTGGTTACAGATGAACAGGCATGAGAAGTTCTCTTGGAAATCTTGACATGACATCCTGTGGAAAACAGACACATGGCCCAAGTCACCTATGGCTTTGTCTGCTACCAGGGTTTGGCTTCCTACCCCTCACTGCGCCTCTCCAGTCGGCAGAAGTGCCTAGGGATTGACTTACCATAGGCCTACCCAAAGACCAAAGTCTGTCTCTGGCACATTCGGTGTCATGTGCTTCTGCCCTGAGAATCTCCTCCCATGCTTGGCAGGGCAGTGGTAGAGACAAGTCTGGGTATTGTGTCACCTGGAAAAACTACTTACCCAACCCAATAATCCAACTGAGTCCTTTTAGGATCAGTGAAACAAAGGCCAGGGTCTCTCCATATCTGTTCCATCACCCTGTAAGCAATCTTGCCTTTCCTAATTGCAAATCCATTGCCAATGTCTTTAAGAAAACCCATGGATGCCACAGCAAAATCCTAGCCTTGTGCCAGAATTAAAATAGAGATATTGGGGAAGATTTGCCTTTCTAATTGACATCTCTGATTCTTAGGAACCACAGACCTAGGCTTTCTTTCATTATTTCACACATGGTAAATTCTTTTTTTAATTTGTTTTCATACAGTGTATTTTGACCATGTTCTTACCTCTCCTCCAACTCCTCCCTACTGCCCTACTCACCCAACATCATGTCCTTTCTCTTTCTCAAGAAAACAACAAAACAAAAAATGAAAATCAAAAAAGACAAACTAAAAAAACACAAACAAAACCCAAACCAAGCACGATAAAAACTAGAGTCTGTTGGTCTACTATTTCTTGTCAAGTGGCTGCCCTGGAGCATGGTTGGTATGCCCAGTGACACTCCATTGCAAAAAAACAAATATTCCCTTTCCTGGCAGGGATTAATTGAAAAGGTTTCTTGGTTAAGGGTGGGAATTTGTGTCCACTTCCTCTTCTCAGTGTTGGGATTTTGTCTGGTTTGAACCTGTACTGGGCTTGTTTATGCTGTCATAGCCATGCTTTCTCAAGTTCATTTCCTTTCTCCTGCTCTCCAGGGAGCAGCTGAGGTCCAAGCCAGGCTTATTCTATAGATCTGTCCTGCTGTTTCTCTTTGTTTTCATATATACGTGCTATATCGCACCAAAATATGTCACCAAGTAAACCAGAGAACTCTTCAGGAAATGGTCATCTTCTCTAAGATGTGCTTAAGGCATAGCATGTGTTTTCAAGACAGTGAGTCTTGAATAGCTTCTAGCTAAGGACAGTGATATCCCATCCAGGGCCGGGCTGGAAAATTCACTTCCAGTTACTCTTTTGGGAGAGTCTTTCCAAAGCAAACTGGAGCTGCTGAGTCCCTACTTGATAGAAATCAGAGGTGACAATCAGGCCTCCAAATCCAAACCTCTGAGAAAGTACCTTTTTACTGTTAAGATATCCAGGAGATCCCAGTGTCTCATCTCCAAGATAACCTTCCCACCAAGGAGAGAGGGCACAACCACCTGCCGTTCAAAGCTGTTGTGCCTTGGGACAGAAAATAGGCTCCCTCTAAGCAGGTCTTTTCGCCACTGATTTCCAACCTCACAAAAGTTTAAGGGAAGCTGTTGGGATGGAGGACTTGGGAAATGAAGACTTCAGACATCCTTAAAGAAGAGTAAGTACCAAAACTCGCCATCATCCTTGTTCTCATACAGCTGGTTTTTCCGAGGGTCGTGGGTTTCCTCCCACTCCTGGGACCTGAGGATGGAGAGAAAGACCACAGAGTGAGACCTCTCCCACATGACTGTAAGAGGTCCACGGTGACCTCAAGTCACCTGCCCACTTTTGTGAAACTCTAGAACACCCGACATCTGTCCTTTAGGATCTGGCTTTTCCCACTCAATATGCTAGTCTCTAGTTCTGTCCATTTTTTTCCCCTTGCTAATAGCGTGTTTTTAACTCTTCTTTCTGGCTGAATAAAGCTCCATTGTGTATATAGACCACATTTCGTTGACCAACTTACCTGTTGGGGGCTGCCTGGGCCGATTCCATAAATTAACAGTGGGAAAGGGGAGGGAGGACATGAGAGGGTAATAAAGTGGGGGAATGACCAAAATACATCTTATACATGGATAAAGACGCCACGATTTGTACAATTAATGTACACTAATAAAAACTACCTCCCATCTTCAACCACCTTCTTCTTCTACTTCCTCCTATTACCGAGCTTGAACACAAGAGCCTTTTGCTGTCTCTACTTCTGGCAGTCACCAAATATTACTCATTTATTGACTCTACCTCCTCGGTCCATCTCACAGACGCCCTGGTCCCACTCCTCCGTTTGTTACCCTAGTTTAACCTACCTTTTAGTCCCTCACAGACATGCCGTGATCTCCCTGCACATAGTCCTGCCCACTTTCCTACCCCTCCTCCACACATTCACCGAAACAAGCCCTCCAAAGTAGGGGCTTGATCATGTCACTTCCCTGCTTAAAACATGCTGGTGGCAGCCAGTTACTGCCAGGGCAAAGTTCAGACTCCTTAAGAAAACCGTGGCCTCTGCCAACCTCCCCAGGTGTAGCTGGGCTGCTCCTGCGCCACCCCCACCTTTGAAGGTCCTTTTCCAGCGAGATCGTTCATTTCCTTAAAGAGGGTGACTCCTCCCCCCAATCCCCACATGCACCTCTTGGCTTTCATCACAATGATGCTCCTGCATCAGGAACACTCCTATCAATGCTAACCTGCTACCTCTCATGCATCTTTTCACCTAATGGGGACTCTGCGTGAGAAGCCTGGCTCACATGCTCATGCTGAGACCTGGCCCACCCTTTGGGCTCCCGTACACCTAGTCCTCTGTGTAGCTATTCCTCCATTGCTTTGTCTTTCTTTCTCTTTTTACACTCCAGATGCCCAGAGAGCAGTGGCCTTGCTTTCTGAGATACTATCACAGGTACCTCACACACCATGACACCCACTCCAAGCAATGACTTTTGTCTTTTTTGCTTAGTTAGCTGCACTACAGAGATGATGCATTCCAGAAGCAAGTCCTGGGGTGTGATGGGAAAGAGACCCTTCTAGGCAAAAGGCCACGGCTGTTCCTCATTCAGCTTTCGCTTTAGAGGAGAGGCAAGCTCCAGGTTCCAGGCCCCAGAGGCCTAACAGTTTAATGAGATCTTTCCTACAGAGGAGCCCGTATTGAGAGCCCGGGTCACCTTTGTGTCAGGACAGCAAGGCAGAGACCACCACCCAGTCTTCCGGCGGCTGGCTGGAGCCGTCAGATGTGTTATTGTAAAACGGCAATTTTATAATTAAGCGATAATTACATTTTCTGCAGTGTGTAAGGGAAAATAAATGTAGTGTAAATCAATACGCTATTGATTCATGCAAGTTTGCCTTTAAGTGTGTGCGACTGAAATTTCAATTATGGCTGAGATTAAACCATCCGGCTCTCGCCATCCGTCTCCATTCCTAAGGAGTAGGGGAGAAATCGACCACCTGCATAGAGACAGTGATTATGCGGTCCCCACCACTTCCTTCCAGCCTGGTTCTGGCGAGAGAGGGGGGCTGACACTCAGCCAGGGGACTTGATCCTACAGGGTGGAAACTGCTCTGTACACACACTCTTGTTTAGAGGCCCCATCCATGCTCATTCCTGTAGGATTTGAATCCAAGATTCAGGCCCCTTCTCCCCATCCTTGCTTCCTCTGCCATAGCCCAGCAGTTTCCTGGCTAGGGAGAGGGGCCCTGTCTCGCTTCTCTTCTGAAGCACACCCGATACCCTTGTCACAAGGACACCTCCTGTTCATTGCCATCTGTCACGCTTTCCCTAAATATGTCCACCCACAGGACCTTTTTCTTCTCTGAGCTCTGATGTCCCATGTGGCCTTCCTTCACTGGTCGTGGAAGACACAAGGGAAATATTAACCATTTTGAGTTTATTGTCTGCCCTCACCTTAGGGAACCTGTTGTCAATGGTCTGACGTGTTCTATTTCTACCTGCCAATCAAAATATCCTCTGGGCCACATTCAGCAGTTTGGGGTGCTGGGCATGGAGAACCGGGGACAGCCAGAGGTTACTCAGATTTACTTTGGAAAAAGTAAAGGAAAATCCAGGTCGGGTGGCTGGCACAGGTGTGTCATCTTAGCCCCTCCAGAGGTTGAGACGAAAGGGTGGCAAGTTCAAGGCCAGCTTGGGTGACAGAGTAAATCAAGCCTAGACCAAGCAGTAAAGCAGGACCCTGCCTCAAACAGATAACGAAGAAGGCTGAGAGTGGAGTGAAGTGGTGAAGAGCTTGGCTGGCACGCATGAGCCCTGTGTTTAAGCCCCAGGAGGGAAGAAAGGAGAAAAACATAACTTTAAGAATAGAGGCAAGAGAAGAAAGAGGACACCAGGAAGGCATTGCACAGGCTGGGAGAGCGCATGGGTGCATGTTTTCCCAAGGTCATATCCCTTCTATCTCCAGGGAGCGTTGGAGGTTCCAGCCACGCTTGTTCTACAGACCTGTCCTGAGGTTTCTCTCCTTTCCTTTATCCTTCCCCTTTCCCTCCCTCCCTCCCTCCATCCGTCCATCCCTCCCTCCCTCTCTCCCTTCCTTCCTTCCCTCCCCTCCCTCCCTCCCTCCCTCCTTTCTCCTTCTCTTCCCTGCTCCATCACACATTCACACTATTTGCTAAGTGCCCATCCATGAGGCCAGGGACACACCAGTTCCAGGGCCCGCAACGAATCAAGGGGGCTTGCCTCAGCTTAGCCCAGGGAGTCCCACTGGGGTGTTGGCGGCTTGTCCAGTCACACTGGCTGTCTGCATGTGACTTCCAGAGCTGTTGTGAAAATCAACCCTATTGATTTTCACTACTTGTTGGGTCTTGTTCTGTTTGTCTGACACAGTGCATTTCCTTTCTGATCATGCTCCCATCCCCAACTGGTAATGAAACTGCAGCCACTGTGCTCTGATGCCTTTTAACAGGTCTGCACAGATCCTGAGTGGAATGGGACAGACCCAGCCCCACTGGCCACCAAGAGAGACAAAAAGTATTGCTGCCCCTCTGTCCTTCTCCCTTTCAGTCACCAAAGCACTGGGGACTGAGGTGGGAGGAAGAAAATCCAATGGGAGGGACAAAAGACAGACAAATGTTGAATATTCTCTCTCACATGTGGAAACATTTAATTGCTCATGGCAGGCAGTCGGGTACCAGAGGTCAGGCTACGGCAGCTGAGAACGACCATTCCAGCACCTGGATGAAGTTGCTGAGTACCCAGATGCTCATCAGGGTGTTGGAGACCTAGCTACTCAGCAACCCCCTTCATGAGCAAGGGGTACTGCAGGCACGTGGGTCCACGAAGTCCAGGTCAAGGGCTAGTCGAGCATCTGAGTCTGCTCGGTAAAGAGACCACCCAGATCATGGTCTCAGGTCCTCAGTTCTACCTGGCATGGAGCCTGCTCCACGCTGATCCTGTGGGCATCATCAGCATCTGAATCCAAAGAATTCCTTCCAGGAAGGATGCTTTTATTCTCTACTTGTCTTTTCCCAAGGGGCAATCATGGCTCCCATCCTGCCTCTTTTCCCTCTTTGCTAATCTTGGGTACGTGAGATCTCAGAGACTTTTGGGAGACAGACACTGGGTCTTCCCATTTGTGTGTGTGTGTGTGTGTGTGTGTGTGTGTGTGTGTGTGTGTGTGTGTATACAGCACCTACCTAACTTTATCACATGCACATAATAGGTGTCTAATAAGTGCCTGGAAAACGATTCCTGGGAGTGGAAGTACACCCACAGCCATAACCAGTGATGTACTGGCCAGGCCCATAGCGAAGCCTGCAGTGGGCTGGCCAGACCCTGCCCAGGTGCTCAGTGAAGAATCGACATCTGCCCATGTTTCCAGCACTCATACCCGTCTCTCCAGCGCCCTTTCCATTCTGTGTTGCCCCAGGGGTTCCAAAGGCGGATGATTTCTTCCCAGCCCCTCTGGTACTGAATCTGTAAGGAGGAACAGAAAAAGCAACCATCAGGGCTCTCTGGCAAAAGTCAGCAGAGAGCTGAAGTATGAATGCAGCTCCTTTTTTTTTTTTCTTTACCTCCCAGGACTAATTTAACTTCTGACCTCATTTGGCTGCAGCCAAGAGAAAAATGAAAAGAAAAAAATCAATGTCTCTCTTGCCGCCTGCATGGAGCTGGAATGAGAGAGGGAGAGAGAAGGGGGGGGGGGAATGAAAATGACCCTTGTTTTGCTCAGCCCCCAGCAGGTGCAGGGGTAGCTCCATCATGTTGGGTGCTGTCTCCTGGAGCTGGGTGAACTCAGGTTTAACTGCAGAGACCTAGCATGGGCTGCTGCATTTGGCTGTAGGGGAGATAGCTTTGTGGTCCCCTGCTTTGTCTAATCCCTCTCACAGAAGGCTTCTCTATCCCACCGTACAGCCTGCATCTGTGCCGGAAGCCTACCAGGGGCTGCAGTACAGTCTTGTGAGGAGGCTGATATGAGCAACCCTGGGGCATCCTTGGAGCTGGGATAGCCAAGGCTAACCTTCCATCTTGCCCCTGACTAAACATCCCGGTGTATGAGAAGGTGGCCTCTAATAGCCTGAACCTTCCTTCTTCATCCCCACCTCCAACATGCAGGGTTTCACTTGTGCCGCTTTGTTAGAATTTTTGCGGCTGTTACACCAGATAGCAACAAACCAGCCAGCCCACACTTCCGGGAGCCAGGAGCCCTCAGCCTGGAGAGAGGGACTGAAACATGATTGAGTTGTAGTGGGGCTATTGATCCATGCTAATGCTGTCTAAGGAGATGGAACGCCTAGGGAAGGAGGGGGCTGCCTGCTGACTCCATGGCAGAGGCGGCTGAGAAATTCAACAGCCTCTCACTGGACAAGGAGAAACTGCGGCAAGGCCCCAGCTAAGTTCACTCTCAGGTCTCTGGGGTGGGCATTCCTATAATCCTTGTCTTGCAGAGGAAATAACAGAATCAGAGAGGTAAATAAACTTTCCCAAGACCGAGTAAGCAAGTAGCAGGCAGAGGGAGAATCCCCATCCTAGTTGCTGTCAGTTCCCTAGGCCTCACTCTAAATTTGGGAATTAGATATGGAAAAAGACTCTTTGATGTGGCTGTGGCCTTGGCCTCAGACATAACCCTTGAGTCACCTTGCTTAGGCCCACATGATCACTCACAGATACGCTCTGAAGAACGGCATGGTACAGAGCTTGGACCTTGGCTTAGCAAAGGTCTTTTGCTTGTTTCTTTCCAGGTCTGCCCAGTCTCTTACTAGCATGCACTGGGAGGCTTGCAGTTCCTCCAGAGGGCAGAGGCTCCTGGCACGAGCCCAGGCCCTCATCCTCTCTGACCTACCCCAAGCCTCCACTCAGCTGCCAGCATTTGCTGGTCCCCACAAAGCAGGGTCACCTTGTGTGCCACAGAGCTTCATGAGCGACCCCTTTGGTGCCCAGTGGAGTCAGGGGCTCAGTTGGGCCTAGGGAGGAGAAGTAGCCAGTGATTCAGGAGGGCTGAGAGCAGGGCTAAATGAGGCATGCAGATAAACACTCACCCCTTGGCCCAGGGGAGTTGCCAGCAGAGCTAGGTGCATAATAAAAAATGCCAATTTCATTTATCTTCCTGTCTATGGCCTGCCTGGAGGGAGGATGAGCAGATTAAAAAGCATACTACATTTACAGGCTGGTTTAATCTTAGCACTTGTGGCTCAGAGTTATAGCCTTCTCGCTCTGGAGGGGGAGGGAGCCTATAGCAAAGTCAAATCCCTGAGCCCTTGTGTCCTTTATGACCCTGCCCAGTTGGTAGCTACATAGTCTGTGGCCAGGGATGCAGAGGTCACATTCAAAGCTAAGACCATGGATAGGGATACAAATGGGGTGGCTCATGGCTTCACTGTTCCCAACCATCCTCTTGACCTTGGTCAGCCTTCTCAGCAAAGCTGTCACTGGACAAGAGGTAGCCCAGGTCATCTGTCCTAAATAGCAGCTTCTTAGATGTATTTTCTTGAATGAATGCTAGTTCCATTGGCTATAAATAGCTCTACTCCAGAAAGAGTGGTTTCCTTGTTAATGGTTGATTAAAACCAAGAAGCACTAAAGAAGGTGCTCTCAGAGCCTTTAAACTGTGAATGTACATTCCATCTGCAAGAGGCAGAAATGAGGAGATGCATTCTCCAAATGTATTCGTTTTCACAGAACGTCTCCTGAAGATACCTTCTGTGATGTGACACCTGCTCGGAAAAGCAGGGCAGGATTATACAGGCCATAGGGCTTTGATCATCTGTCATCCCAGGTCAGGTGCTCTGTTCAGCCCTCTCTCTCATCCCATGCTCACCACAGGTAACACTAACTGATGACCACTCTCTTTCTCCAACTCTGCAAGCAATATCAAAGTCTTGTCCATCTAGAAACCCCGACGGCATAGTTAAGTGACCACAGCTGAAACGTGAGATAAAATCTATTTGCAATCCCGAGACGTGTCCACATCTGGGAGAGTGGGGCTATAGGAAATGGAGTGTCTACACATGGCCAGTGTGATGATAGTATCACTGGCTTCACTGACAATCCCTGGGAAGAGGTCTGGAGAGTAGAACAGAGGGTCTGGTGCACAGTTCGGAGGACTGGAGTCTGCAGTCGCCATGACCTTGCTCATACAAATGCCCTCTAGGCCTCTGTCATATATTCTGTGATAGGGGAATAACAATGTCATCTTCTCAGGCCAAGGGCAAATGCATTCATTCATGCATGCAACTGCATTCATCCATTTAACAAGCATTTATTAGATGCCTACTGTCTTCAAGTATACTGATGCTGATTTACCATTTTGGAGGCAGACCGGACAGAATAAGGTCCGCCATGCTGTGAACTATGACTTGAAACAATGAGGTAACCAGCTTTTAGTTGGTGGGTGGGAGAGACAGATTGGCACAGAAGAGTTAAGACAAGTTGAGAAGGGCACAGAAGGCACTTGACACTCGGCATTCCTTAGTTTACAGGCACCTGTGAGAGATCTGTCCTGGAGTTTGGAACTCTGTCTCTTCGGATATGGAAGCTGTGCTTGACCTCAAGAGTAGTGGGACACACAGTTACAGGGAACACTTGTAGGAACCCCTGGGAGGTCAGGAAATGTCACTGCACAGCTTTTTGATGACTGCAGGTACAAAATGGGGGGGGGCAGGTGCCAGGGAGCTATGCCACAGGTAGCCATCTCGATGACTTTCAGGCAGGTCCTTCTCCCATCACCTCACAGCGTCTTCATTTCAGAACGGAGGAAGCTGGACTTCCCTAGTGCTTTCCAGATGGATCACACTTGATCCAGGAACCACACACATTTTCACTCACTTGTAGTAAGTTCTATAGACTGCCTGCCTCCTTGTGGAGTCAAGCTGCACCTGAGCAAACAGAAGCAGCCACAAAGTGCGCTTCACTTCCCAGCCTCCTTTGGGTCACTGTATGGCTGGGGGATTAAATGCAGGCTAATGGGCTATGGGGTGTGTGTGTGGGGGAGTGGATCTCTTTCTCATTCTTGTCCACTATGGGGAGCAAAGTGTGGCCCCTGGCCTCTTTCTTTTCCCAAGCTAGAAGACAAGGGTACCATGTAGTTTGAACCTACCAATAGAATCCAATGCTTTGGATGTCAGAGTTACCCAGTATGGTGGTTTGAAGGAGAATGGCCCCCCACAGGCTCATATATTTGAATGATTGGTCCCCAGTTAGTGGAACTATTTGCAAAGGATTGGGAGGTGTGGCCTTGTTGGAAGAAGTGTGCAACTGGTGGTGGGCTTTGAGGTTATAAAAGCCTCTCTCTCTCATACATGTACACACACACACACACACACACACACACACACACACACGCACCCATATTTCTGTTTCTCTCTCTCTCCTACCTGTGGATCAGGATGTAAAGCTCTCAGCTACTGCTCTAGCACCATGCCTGTCTGATTCCTATCATGGCGATTATGGTCTAACTCTCCAAAATGATAAGCCAGCCCCAGTTAAATACTTTCTTTTATAAGAATTGCCTTGGAAGCTGGGCAGTAATGGCTCACACCTTTAATTCCAGCACTCGGGAGGCAGAGGCAGGCAGATCTCTGTGAGTTCGAGACCAGCCTGGGCTACAGAGTGAGTTCCAGGACAGGCTCCAAAGCTACACAGAGAAACCCTGTCTTGAAAAACCAATATGGTCACGGTATCTCTTCACAGCAATGGAACAGTGATTAGGACACCCACTGACCCAGGATCACCTGCTTACCTGAGCGAGAAGCAAATGCTATCTTGTTTAAACCCATGTAGTTTAGAGGGCCTTTGCTCTATCAGTTTAGATCATATGTCACAAATGACATGAGTTCCAAGGTGAAGTGTTCCTCAGAGTCAACTGGGTGATGCATTCTACCCCTCTTTGGAGTAAATCCCCTATATAACTAGATACCCACACCTCTGTGATCACTTCACAGAGAGCAAAGACACAGGGGAAAAACGGGCATGGGGGAGAAGGACCCTAGGCGCCGTAACATTGGAGAAGGAATTGAGACCGCTGGAGGTGGGAGCTACGGTAGAGCGAGAGAAGGAAACACCCCTGTCAGCTACTGGACTTGCAGCAGGCATCTGCCTCTACCTCCTGTTTAGAGGATCCCGGGGACAGATGCCCGGCTAGCGGTTCAGCCTTACCTGCTCAGCTCCAGTTACTGTGTAGGCGTGCTGGCTCACCAGTCCATTCTCCATCACCTCCGACTCATCCGTCAGCTGCAGAAGAGAAGGACAGAGTTCTTTGGAGACACAGAAAAATACATGCAGGCAGCAGCTGAGTCAGTGGGCTACCCACCCACCCCCAGCAGGAAGTGTGTGTGTGTGTGTGTGTGTGTGTGTGTGTGTGTGTGTGTGTGTGTAAAACCTATGTGTGTGTGTGTGTGTGTGTGTGTGTGTGTGTGTGTGTGTGTGTGTGTGTGTGTGTAAAACCCTTCCTAGGAGCGTGAGGCTACTAGGTGGAAGGTTCCAATGTTTCATGCCCAGGAGCTACCTACCCCACTGACTATGAAACTCACAGGGCTCTGAGGACATGGGCTGCTTGCTCCACTGACCATGTGTCATGAACAAGACACAGCATAACACATGTCAGCAGGGTCTTCCACCCCTAACAACATCCTCCCCCCCCACTCCCCCCCGCCGCCACCGAAGGAGCAGTATGACTTGGCCAATGTTAAGAGTACAGGAAGTGTGAGGGAGCCAGGCATCTTAGAATAGACTGAAATAATTTGGGGGTCATGCAAACTATGAGACCTGCTACCCCTATGGCTGGTGAGAACCAGGGCTTTTTATAAACATAAAGAAAACACAATGGAGCTTCCCACAGCTACAGTCGCCTTTTCCGACACCTTGAAAGCCTTCTGGTCACCCTGGCCCACATGCTGCTCTTGGTCATAAGGAAGCAGTATGTGAGAATTTGGGGGGAGGGCAACTGAATTCCAATAGTGCACAGCACCCCCTAGCCACGTAACTCTGAAACTTCACTCCATCTCTCTGAGCTCATTTCCTCTTCTATGACATGATTTTGGAATGCCTGTCTCCTCCCTAGCTAAGGACTCTGGATGGATACCCCCAGGTGAAGAGAAAACTTCTTGGGCACCCAGGAAGCCCCCATCTACTCACCCCCTTTGGGGTGGCACAGGCCACCATTGAGCCTGCCTTGACTGCCGTCTTCACCGCCATCAGGAGGTCAGAAGGGGAGGAGTGCAGGTTGACAATGGTGACCACGCCTCCCGTGAGGTCCACCAGGGCATCGGGAAGGTAGCCATAGTGGATCTGGGAATAGGAGCCAAGCAGCCTGGGAGGGGGAGGTCAGGTTAGCCCTGAAGCAGGAGATTGCACATCAACCCTGTGTGTGTTCCCTAGGTGAGAGACTTCTCCATCCACAGGGGACCACACACACACCACGCCCCCAGGAGGAGGGAAGACCAGGGCGAGCCAGCCCCTAGAAAACACTGAGTGCTGATTCTCTTGATGAGAATCTTTGTTGCTGTCTCCTCAGTCTGAGGACACAGTAAGCATTGACATGTGCAGGGCCACCCTGAGTACATGCTCCATGATGAACAAGACCTCATCCCCACCCTCAGAGAACTCACAATTAACATCCCCAAGTTCAGCCTGGCAACGGGTACTCTTTGTTTTTACTCTGGGAAAACTGACCCAGATCTCTTGTTTATAATGCCACCCATCTCCCTGGAAATTAGGAGGGGGAGAGGCTTTAGTGAAGGTGGCATAGGAAGAGATGAGTCTGGGCAACCATGCCCTCAGACCTGTTCTCTAGACACCTCTCCCACCCCCACAGTCTTTGACCTTCTGCTTCTGCACCCGCACCTCAGAAAAACCTGGCCGCACTGTCTCGGCTTTGCTTTCTTCTGATTTTGCTTCAAACCTCAGCATTGGAGCCCTGCTCATCACCTCCTGGCTGTGTGATGGCAGGAATTGACTTAGCCTCTCTGATCCTGTTTCAGGACCCCATCACACATTATCGAAGCTCCATCCTTGGCTCCTCTCACAAGTTTTCAATATCCTGGAAGGAGACTGAGCTTTCTCAGGCACCCTTTGCCTGTTCGAGGAGAGGACATTTACATATGCCTCACTGAGTTAAGTAAATTCGGGCAGCATAGAGAAGCCTCTGGCCATGGCCAGCATCATGAGGCACAATGGTCTGCGTGTCCCCTTCTCCCTGCTCCACATCGGCCTGTCCTCCATACCAGTGCCTGGCATCAAGACATAATCTCTTTAGAAAGGGTTGTCAATGATCACAAACCAAGCCCTTTGACTTCATGAGGTATCTACAAAAAACAAGTAACCATGGGAGACAGACGACAGACAGGTCCCAGCCTAGGGCCCTTGACTCTGAGTTAAGGTTCATGTGGGTCAAGAGAGTGCCAGGGGTATTCCAGGGAGGGGAAATCAAACTGGAGAGGCTCCCAGAGCCAGGAGAGCAGTGGTTCTCAACCTTCCTAACACTACCACACTTTAATACAGTTCCTCATGTTGTGGTGACCCCCAACCATAAAATTATTTTTGTTGCCACTTCATAACTGTCGTTTTACTACTGTTATGAATCATAATGTGAATATCTGATATTCAGGACATGTGATATGCAACCCCTGTGAAAGGGTCATTTGACACCCTCCCCCCCTCCCTGGGGTTGTGACCCATGGGTTGAGAACCGCTGCAGTAGAGCATGGCGGACCTAGACGGGTGGACAATAGGGCTGGGGGAAGCCTGTGATCTCTGGGAGAAAGGACACTGGAATAGTCACAATGATATCACTAAAGATGGAGTCATAGGGCCAGATTCTCAGTGGGGTGAACTGTAGGTTCCTAATCTATAGCCATGGTAAGACTTGAAAGATAGGAGATGGAGGTCTGTGGGCAGTCTCCTGAATGCAGGAGCTGCCCTCCCTCTATCCCTGCCAGATCTCTGTGCATCTGTCCCCTACTGGCAAGCAGATGCAGAGCCTTTCATGCATGATGGTCAGAGCCCCTGCCTTGACTCTTTGCTTCTTTTGCTATTATAAAATAATAAAATGGGAGTCTGGGCCTGGGTCCATTCTCACCTCTGCCTGTAACAAGGTACTTGGCCTTGGAGATGACCCTTCTCCATTTTGTTCTTGGAGTTTCTACTAGACATAGCAGGGTGGACTGGGATCACACTGGGGCCCTCAGACACTCTTTTCCCATCCTATTTTTTACCTTGGTCGCTTTCCTCCTAGAACCACACAGAAGTCCGGCAAAAACATGTGAGCAAATACGTGTTAAGTGGCCACTGTGTCCCAGGCACACGTGCTAAGGGTGACTTAGAAAAACCTCTTACTACAGAAACCTAAGGATACACAGACCAAAAGGGCAAATCAATGGGACACGCGTGTGACATTTACCCACACTGTTTAAAATGAGTCCTGATCTTATCGCCTCCCTGGCCTCCCTGTGACCTCAGGTTCTGATGGGCTTTACATTCTTTATCTCCACAGTGTGCGCTCAGTCAACGACACAGGTTCTCTTTGATCAGGGTTATGCCCAGTTAGGTCTGAAGACTTAATGTCACAGGTCTTTACTGAGGACAGCAAAGCCAACAAGGGCCATTCCAAAATCTATTAGTGCTTCGCTGCACCAAGCTTCCGTGCCGGTACCAAGGGTCCCTCCCAGTTCTAAGCAGGACCCATGAAGGTGGTTGCTCCAGGAAAGCGACTGGGGGCTTTGACCCTTCTACACGGATGTACCCCATCTCAATGGCTCTGGCCTTCATCTGAGGTCTGTTACCCACATGACTCTGCTGTCACCACAAAGACACCACACACAATAGAAGGGCTCCCTGTCCACTCTACCACAGTGAGCATCCCTCCTCATGTCGTCCAGAACCTTCTCTCGGTGTCTGTCCTCGGTGCCTACAAAGCCTGTCCCAGGAGCCATTGGATGTTTTGACAGATCCAGGCTTCTGGATCCTGCTGATGCTTCAGGAACACGTCAACTATTCTTAGTCCCAGTTGCTGACAGGAAGCAGGAGAGAGAGAGAGAGAGAGAGAGAGAGAGAGAGAGAGAGAGAGAGAGAGAGAGAGAGAGAGAGAGAGAGAGAGAGCGCAGTGCCTTGTCACCCGAACCCCGGAATTCTGAGTGAGCCTCCTGCTTGGGCCTCATCTCGAGGAAATGAATGTCTCCATGCTCTGACAAAATAGAAGCATCCAGATGTCTAAGCCTGAGCCTGACAGGAGGCTGAGATGCTGCATTTCTTACCCATAAAGACGCCGCCAGGGCTGATACGCAGCCTGCCAGATCTTGTCCCCATCTCTTCAATCTCCAAACACAGACTGCTCTGCCTGACACTTGCCCGATCTGATTAATTTACTTCCAGACTCCCCAGCACGGTGAGAAGTGGGAACTGGGAGTCCACATGGTCACTGGGCTGCTTCTACTCCCTCACAGGGCCAGCGGCCTCTGCCACAGACAGCTGCGCTCTCCAGGTTTGTGTGGGGGTCCCAGGGTCAGGCAGCAGACAAGATGGATCTCTTTCTGGAGAACTGACAACGTCAAGAACTGGCAGGAAGAAGCTGGGCGGACAGCTCTTGGTCCTAGCTTGGTCTGGACCACTCGGTGACCTTCTTGGGCCTTGGTTTCCTCATCCCTCACAGGAGGGAGTGCTCGACGTTCACAGAGGCCTCTTGGAGCTCGAGCTCTGAAATGCTGGCATTCGCTTCTGCATTCGGCAACTCTCCTCTTCGGGTGGGTGGGTCAGGGCAGAGCTTTTAAATAGCTTTAATAGTTTGAAACATTTTATCCCCAGCTAGATTTCTTTAGGCGGGAGAATGTGGGATTTGGGCCTAGTCTCCCATTTCTTTTCAAGCTGAATGATTGCTTTAGGTCAGCTGTTAACAAAATGGGGTCAAAGTCATCATTTCCGTCCTCAAGCTTTCTAATTCTCCCAGGCTCCCTCTTTTTACATAAGGGAAAAAAAATGAGGCCCAGAAGTGATAAGGGTGGGATCTAGCCTGGAAAGATAATGGCGATGTTTGTGTAAGTAGCTTAGGAGTGAATTAACCTCCCAGAACGCCTGCTCTGGTTCAACAGCCCTGGCTGTTATCTCGACTTCTTCCTCCAATGCGAACGCACAGCTCTTCCCAACAAAAGAAGGGAGAAACAACTTTAGTTTTTCCACAAATTGCCTCTTAAAAAAAGAAAGAGGTCTGGAGGAACCTCTTCATCTAGATTGTGAACCCAGCCAGGCTGCACCCCTGCTATGTGGAGTCCCAGGCAGGTGACCAAGGGATTCAGTGGCTTGCATCTGTTGTCTCCTGGTAGCTCAGAGACTCAGCTTCTTCCTGTGTGAATGAGGAGCCTTCCAACCCTATGTCCCTTTCTCCTCTTCCTTTTGTCCCCAAGGATGTGGACTGCATCATGGTCTTTCTCCTGTGAGCTATGACTCCCCACCCCACCTCTCTGAAGTACTGTTCTCTATGTCTCTGCCCATGCATCCTTCTGAGGGAAACAATCTCATCCACAGCTCTTGCCCAGCGGGCTCTATGGCCACGGAACCCTGGCCATGGTTGAGGAGGCCAATGGGAACCTAGTGTAAGCCTGGCCAGTTAGACTGCCAGTACCTGGAACCTCATAAGGAGCAGGAGATAGGGTTGAAGGAGCAGACTAAAGCCTGAGGGAGAGAGAAAGAACAAGGCCACCAGGCCAAGCTCTGCTATGACGGGCCAGGAGTATTCTGAGAGAGGGGAAGTTAGTGGAGTGAGCAGAGATGAGACAGGGAATCAGGTAGGCCGCTGCATTCCTTCTTCACATCAACCATTTCAGGATGTTTAATATGCAACATTTCTTTCCTCTGTGTTCTTGTAAAATGCACACTGTGGTGGCTATAGCGTCCATCTCTATAGATGGCTTCATATTTTCCTGCTCAGTGTTTCTTGCCCCATTCACTTAGAGCCCACCCTCCAAGGATCACCCTGGGCATAGATTGTGTATGTGGCTTCCAACTGCCATGGGGCTGTCCATGGAGTACACCCACCCCATGGTACCTGTGCACCCTGGCCTGGATACAGCACACCACACCCACAGTGCCATTGGGAACAGCCCAGGCCTGTCCTCGTAGAGCCCTTCTAGAGAGCATCCTCATGGGGTGTGACATATGCCTGTGAGTAATCTAAGAGTAGTCAAGTGGCCCTTAGAAGGTTGTCTCAGGGCATGTCCATTAGGGCTGTTTCTTAGACTCCCTACATACTGGCAGTCACTTGGTCTTAACCTAGCTTTGACTTTTGCAGTCTAAGAGCACAGAGGGAAGCTGTCTTACTTTTAAAAATTTGCATTTTTTTTCTTTTTTGGTTGTAGAAAGCCTGAACCTCTCTCTCAGGCATTGTAAGAGTCTTTAGAACAGTGCTGTGCTCTACATAGATGTGTGCATGCATATCATTATCCGTATTCGCTTGAGCCAGACTGCTCTAGTGTCTGAGGCGGTGCCAAACACAGTGCCTGGCATATGGTAAAATGTTCAGTGGGCATCTGTTGAGAAAGTAACCCTGAAAGCTTAAGGGAAACAAGCGAGCTGGGGTGCATGCAAATTCTGAGCTTGTCAGGACCGCAAGGTGGTCCCTGAACATCCTGGGTGGACCACAAGAGAGGGAGAAAATCCTGCTCATCAACCATTGCCCCACAACACAAATGCGATCTCATGGCAGCCACACAGGACCCTCACTCAGTTCCTGGACCACAGTTTGAGGTGTTTCACTCAAGCCTTTGTCTGTCTCCCTCTCATGGCCTCTACCCACAAGTCTCCCTCTCACTGTAGCGTCCTACCCATGCTTCCATCCTCACTCAAATGCCATGTCTCCCAGCAGCCTTAGCTTGCCTCTCTGTAGGTCAGGGAGTCAGGATCATTTCCTCATCCATACCACATCAGACTGTGAGCAGGATGATAGCCAGCCCAGTTCTTTGAATGTGCAGCCTTCACACCGACTATGAAACCAACCATGCAATGAAAGGGTTGGAAACAAATTTTGTCAGTAACGGCATGGGCAAGCATTCCTTGTCATTATTTCCTAAATAATACAATATAATGACTATCTGCACAGGGTTTATAGTGTGTTAAGTATTATATGCAATGCATGTATAGATGATTTAGAGTATGCAGGATGTGTGTAACTTATATGTAAATACTATTTCATCTCATATAAGGATCTTCAACATCATGGGTTCTAATATCCAAAGGATTCTTGAACCACGCTCCTTCGGATACCAACAACAACTATGGTTCATCTTACATTTGTCTAATCATTCATGTTATGTGGGCCTAGAGCTGTCTAGTCCACAGCTCACTGTGTGTCTGTGGGTCCCTCCTGATGGCCCCAGGATCAAACCTTAAATCTGGAGATTGTTTACAGAGATTGTTTCACCAGCTGACAAGGGCTCTGATGTTCAAATGGACAGTGTTTGCTTCTTTGTAAGGTCTCACTATGCAGACCAAGCTGGTTACAGTGATCCACCTGCCTCAGCTTCCCCAGGCTGGGATCAAAGGTGTAGTCCACCACACCCAGGACACTGCTTGCATTCGGAACAGATACTGAGAGAGCTGCAGGGCCAGCTGGCAGGAAGCATCTGTGAGGGCAAGACACTGGGCAAGCAGAGCCAGCACAGAAGCTGGACAGAGAGGCTTGCCCACACTTACTTGGCATAGGCTTTCTCCATCAGGCAGGGCCAAAATTCCTGGTTGCCTCTGCGAGGATGCACAAAGAGGAAGTTCTTGCCTATGACAGGCAATCGGTCATCAACCACTACTTCCACCCAGTGGCCACACTGCCAGAACTGGAAAAAAAAAAAAGACAAGGATATGTCTTAGTAGAGCTGGGGCAGGAGGGAGTTTCTGTAACTACCTGACCTAAGCCAAAACATTTTTGTAACTTCATTTCCATAACCCAGTAGCAAACTCAATCCAGAGCAGTATCACATCCCAAAGGGCATAGGCATGTCATCTCCAAGGGTAAGAGCAATAAAGGAGGCGCCAATCAAGACAACAAGACAATTAACTCAGGGAAATCTAAGCAGGGAAGAAGGATGCATGGGCTCTACTTCAGCTTTGCAATGAACTACAGCCTTATTCTGACAAATCCCTTGTGAGCTTCAGACAGACAGAGGAGAGTCCAGATCTTTCTTGCACACACAGGGCGGCAGGGGAAGCATATGTAAAATAAGAAGAGTGGCAGGTGCAGGGCTGTGGCAGGGCAGGACAACTGACCCGGAGCTGAGGGCTCCAGGAAGGAAGCATGTCAGGCATACTGCAGATGCATCTCAAATGACGAAGACAGAATGGACCAAGGCCTGGAGGCGGGATGATGTGGCTGGCTCAGGAGGAGTGAGCAGTGACAGCCTGACTCTGGCCCTTCTGTCTTCATGTCACAATGGCCTTGCTATTATAATGGACAAATGGAGCTGGCTGGTGCTCTTACTGCTAAGAGCACAAATGAGCCAGATGTTCCTCTCCAAAGCAGACTGCTTTCATCTTTAGTATTCAGCTCTAAATGGTTCACCCGGGGACATCAGCAGATGAGGAACATTCATTAAAAAAGAACGCTCTGAGTTTCTTCGTTGGCTTCCACTGGGCTGGATGGAGCACCGGGACCTCTGGTTTGGGTCTGAACCGGATGAAGGTAAGTCTCCTCCAGGTGAGCTTGCTAAAGTGGGGTGGATGTGAGCGCTCATCCATACCACCCTTTCCACAGCTGGAGGTCTCAGGGTTGTCACACCCACCTGAGGATACACTATCAGAGCAGAGATGGAGAAAGAGACTGAGATGTCAGTGGAAACAAGGTAAAGATGTTTTCATGGTCATGAATGAGCCAGGGCACTCTAGCTGGCTTAGACACAACGGGATGAATGTTACTCCTGAAGCTATCAGTAAGCTGTGTAAGCATTGAAATTCAGGAAACAGGGATGCTACTGAGAACCATCAAGGAAAGCTAATCACAGTTCCCAGAGGGCAGACAAGAAGGCCATTTAAACTTTGGACTTAGTTGGGTAGACACAGAGAGGATAATGTCCAGTGGGTAGAACGGTGCCTGAATTTTGGTTTTAATCTATTATCTAATAACAGTTATTAGGCAAGATACTTACTTAACCTTGACTCCATTTCCAGTCTGTCAAATGATGGTATCATGAAAGAACCACTTAGGAGGCTAAAACTGAGACCAGATGAGACAGGGAGAGGGACGGAGTGGTTTTGAGCCACTATGATTTGTGGAATTGTATGGCTGTTTTGTTCAGCAACCAGGGTGGTGTCATGACAAGTGAGAATGCCCAGGGACAAGGGAACTATTATGGCCAGTTTTGTCTCAGAAATCACTCTCCTCTCATTCTCCCACTAGTAAGGCTTATCAAACATGCTTTCTGTATGCAAGGAGGACACCAGATAAGATTGCTGTTGCTGGAGATCAAGAATACACACACACACACACACACACACACACACACACACAGCATATGTATATGATTAATTATGTAAAACAGGAGCTTTCATTTTAAGTATATGTATTTAAATAAGCATTGAGACATATGAATAAATAATATAAAGACAAAAAAAATAAACTGACTGATGGTCAGGAATGTGGCCATGTCCTATTTCCTGGGTGAAGAGGACAGACCTATTGGACAGTGTTTAAACCCTTCAAGAACCATGCACGTGCCCTTTTGCCAATGTCATGTGCCTGACAGGGAAATCAGAATTTTTCTGGGCAAAGCATCTGAGGCGCCTGGGCACTGAGTGCTTTCTAGAAGTAGAGTCCAAGTTCACAGTGGTAGGAAGAGAGCGACAGAAATCAGCACTGTAGCCAACACTGGGGAGTTTTTTTACTACATTTGTTTGTTGGTTTACGTGTGTGTGTGTGTGTGTGTGTGTGTGTGTGTGTGTGTGTGTGTGTGTGTGTGTACACCACAGCACGTGTGTGGAGGTCAAAGCACAACTTGTAAGAGTCAGCTTTCTCCTTTCATCATGTGGGCTCTGGGACTTGAACACAGGACACCAGACTTAGGTAAGTCTGATAAGTGCAGAGTCATCTTATCAACCAAAGGTACTGGCGTAACTGGTCGGCTTTCTTTGTTACATAGAAGGGCAGAGGGCGTTCTGCTGGGTCTCTGGTTATCCTAACCACCTAAGGCATGGCCCAGCAATGCTAGCAGTCCTGCGGTGAGCCTATGCTCTGTTCAGTTCTGGATGTTCTCTGGTGCCTCTCAGTGTGGTCCTTGGATCACGATCAGTACCAACATCACTAGGGAGCCTGTCAGAAGTATTGCCTAGTTGGACTTTGGGAAGTAAAGAACAGGATTTTTTTGTTTTGTTTTGTTTTGTTTTGTTTTTTTTTTGTTTTTTGTTTTTTTTTTCGAGACAGGGTTTCTCTGTGTAGCTTTGTGCCTTTCCTGGGACTCACTTGGTAGCCCAGGCTGGCCTCGAACTCACAGAGATCCGCCTGGCTCTGCCTCCCGAGTGCTGGGATTAAAGGCGTGCGCCACCACCGCCCTTTTTTTTTTTTTAAAAAAAAAGAGGACCATCAATGATGGAATGAAAACTAGAAGCAGAAGGAGGCTAGTCTTTAGGCTGAATGTCTCTTTCACCTTCAGGAAAGTGTGTGTGTATTTTACATGTATACATTTGTGTATATCTACGTTTGTGTATGTATGTATGTATGTGTGTGTGCATACTGCTGTGACTGAGCCATCTCCCTAGCCCAAGAATATTTTAGTTTATATTTTAAAAATTACTTTGTGTGGTGTGTGTGCGTGCGTGCATGCATGCGTGCATGTGTGAGTGTGTGTGTGTGTGTGTGTGTGTGTGTGTGTGTGTGTGTGTGTGTGTGAAGGTGTCCATAGAGGCCAGAAGATGGTATCAGTTCCTCAGGAGCTAGAGTTGTGGGCAGTTGAAGCCATTCAATGTGGATGCTAGGAACTGAGCTCGGGTCCTCTGGAGGAGCAGTACATGCTGTCACCTGCTGAGCCATCCATCTCTCCAGCCCCCCAAGAGTAATTTTTAAATGGTACACATCTGAATGTACTCTAGAGACATTTCTGAACTCCAGGGAGAGATAGCCACTTAGAGACTTGAAGTTTGACAGCACATGTTACATGTAAAGTTGGCTGACACTGGTGCTGTGGGATGGTCTGTTTGTCAAGTGTGTTGCTGATTGGTCAGTAAATAAATCACTGATTGGCCAATGGCCAGGCAGGAAGTGTAGGCAGGACAAGGAGGAGAATGAAGCTGGAAAGTGGAAGGCTGAGTCAGAGAGACACTGCAAGCCGCCACGATGACAAGCCGCATGTGAAGATGCCGGTAAGCCACGAGCCATGTGGCAAGGTATAGATTAATGGAAATGGATTAATTTAAGCTGTAAGAACAGTTAGCAAGAAGCCTGCCATGGCCATACAGTTTGTAACCAATATAAGTCTCTGTGTTTACTTGGTTAGGTCTGACGGCTGTGGGACTGGCGGGTGACAGAGATTTGTCCTGACTGTGGGCAAGGCAGGAAAACTCTAGCTACACACTGGACTTTTCTACAAAAACGGAAATAATAACACCATGGGACATTGGGAAATTCTGAGGTTAAAGAACATTGACAGGATAATCCAGATCAAGCCAAGATGTTCTTCAATGAGACCAGATAAATTCTCATATAGTTTGAGAAAATTATGCAAGGAATGACTTCTATCTGATAAAGTTAAATAGAACACAATCTCAAGGTAAGAAGAAACATGGCTGGAAGAGACTGTCAAGAAATGAGTGTTGAATGTTTCTGACCAAAAAATTACCTATAACAGTGAAAGTGAGACCAGTAAATCAAAAACAAAGACTTAAGAGGGTCTGTCTGTGTGCCTGATGTGGCATGTGTGGAGATCAGAAGACTACCTGCTGGAACAGGTTTTCTCCTTCTACCATGTAGAGCCTGGGTCTTGAACATAGGTCATCAGGCTTGGTTGGCCCAAACCTGTTGAAACATCTTGCTGGCCCACAGATAACAAGACATTAAATGAACTATCAGAGAATCTCAGGAGCAGCTTTAAGACATTATATTGGGAAACATTCTTTCTGGTAAAGCCTAAATATTAGTAAGCAACTCCAGCTATCTGTGGGTATAAGGACAAAGGTTTAAATTGTGGCCAGGGAATCTGCTGATTTAGTAGAGTAGTGGTTGCAGGTTCTCCTCCGAGATAAATGACTTCATTAGCTGGTTCTCATATATGCGTGCAACATTAAACAGATGGAGCAGGTTATGTTTATGTATGTATGTATGTATGTATGTATGTACATATACTTATAGGCATATAATAACAATTAATGAAAAAAGAGGCCATGAGTTTGGCAGAGAGCAAGGAGGGGCATATGGGAGAGTTTGGAGGGAAGAAAGGAAAGGAACAAATGTAATTACATTGTTATTTCAAAAATAGAAATTAAAAAGAAATAACTCCAGGAGAAAGAAGTGATGCAAACTAATGAATAGCTGCTGAATATTCCAGAAGAGCTAAAGAAGTCATATTTTAACAAGAGGTGGGGTGAGATAGTTTAACTATTGTCTATTATACTTTCCTTTTTGTCTACTTGGCTGAATATTTGATTAGCAAACATTACTCAAATGATTTCAAATAACCAAGGGTGTAATAGTTCACTTTACGAAGCTTGTATAACTCAGACATGATTAAAAAAATAACATAATGCAGAAAATAACTTCAGATATGACACAGACACAGAAATTCTAACGAAGTGCTTAACAAACTGGAGCCGGTGGCATCATCAGGAAAGCCCCTTACTAAAATCAAGAGGAGGGAAGAGTTTGACTCTTGTCACTCTGATTCAAAGGATGTGACAAGGCAAAAGAACAAAAATAACAACTCAGGGTATTAAAAGAGGAGAAACAAGTCCGGGCGGTGGTGGCGCACGCCTTTAATGCCAGCACTCAGGAGGCAGAGCCAGGCGGATCTCTGTGAGTTCGAGGCCAGCATGGTCTACAGAGCAAGAATCAGGAAAGGCACCAAAAACTACACAAAGAAATCCTGTCTCGAAAAACAAAACAAAACAAACAAAAAAAAAAGAGGAGAAACAATTGCAGTTGCATGAAGATCAGATCATTAGGTAACTAAAGTAATCCAGATTCAACCATAGGAAGAACTAGAGAGAGAACTTGATAAGGTGTCCAGAGAGTTTACTATGGAATCAGTGGGGGAGGAAAGCCAAAAGAACTTCACATTGGCTCTATGGTTGTAAAATATTTGAGGATAAATTTATGCAGAAGGGCACAGCACCAATATGAAAACATAACTGTAACATTTTATGGGCAGGCATAAAATCAGTTCCGAATAAATAGAAAGATATACCCTGTTTCTGGATAGGAATAATTAAAACAATAAAAATGTAATTTTTCCAAATTAATACATAAATTGCATGCTGTTCCATTCTACATCACAGTGGTTTTTCTGTTTAATTAGACAAAATTATTTTAAAATTCCCATGGAAGAGAAATGTGCAAGGATTACCAAGGTATTTGAGAAAAGAAGGATGAATAATGAAGCAGAATACATCTGTTCCAGATGCTGCAATTTCCTGTAATATTCTTGTCACTAATATCATGGAGTGGGGCAGGAATAAGAGGCATGGACTCCATGGTCATGACCTTTAGGTTCTAGGTCAATGGTTCCTTCACTACTTGTCATGTACCTCTCAAAATATGCCCAAAGGACTCCTTAACATCCTCTTCCGACCATTTCTATCCCCATGCAAACATCTCCCTCCTCATCTTCTCTGTGTGTGGCTGGGCCATAAATGGAAGGTAGAACGCTGTTTTGGAGGAGGAAGGGTAACTGGCATTCAGATGTTACTCCCAGTTCAGGCTCCCAGGTCATGAGAATGTTCATGGCTCACAAGAGTTCCCCATCCCAGAAGGAGTATACTTGTGGTGCACATACCCGGAACCGGAAAATCCCAGCATACTGGTGTGAATAGCTTTGGTCCATCAGGATCTTCTGCAGACACTGTGGGTTCTGGGTCAGGGAGCCCAGTGCCGCCAGGAACCAGCAGTCTCCTGGGAGGGGATGAAGCCATAATTGAAACTAGTTGTACCCAGAAATCCCACCCCCTGAATTTTACAGGTTGTGGATACCAGAGTTAACAGATCTTCTTACGAATACAGAGTGAATGTCAATTAGAAATCTTTGAGACCAGAACATTTTCAAATTATTTTAAATTTTCAACTATTTTCCAAGCAAGATGGAGAAGAGGTGTTAGTGCCGGTGATGTAGGTATTGGGGGACAGGGTGTGGAGTAAGGTCTGGTGAGGAAGGCCAGGGAAGCCCCAGATAGGCTTTAGCAATAGGGGGTTCAACTTACTCCCTGACACTTTTTCCTAGAGTTTCCCAGGACTGACATCCATTAATTTTTTTTTTTAACCACTGAACAAAGTCAGCAATGGTACTTTATATAATTGCAGAAAATGCACCTGTATTTTTCTTTGCTAATATTTGCCCTGCTCCTTTTCTATGCAGGGAAATCTCTAGCCCGTGCAGAAGTTTTCTCTGCTTCCCCTTGACAGATGAGTAGCCTTGACCTTCTCCACAAGTATTGATGTGAGTCCTTCTAAATATGCTTCCCTCCTGTCTCAGTCTCCCCCCCCCCCCCCGTGCCCCCAGCTTCACTGTCAACACCATCAATTCTCTCTCATGCCAGGCACTGTGCTCAGAGCGGCAATCACAAAGAGACCCTTAGAGGGACCCTTTCTCCAGTTAAGGGAAATTCTAATGGGCAGATTACAGGCTGGTAGTTGGCTAGGTGTCTATGTACTTGGTTTAAGACTGATTTCCCATGCAATGACCAAGTCAAAAGGCTGGGATGGGAGCTGTGGAGTTCTTACCCGCTCTTCCTTGCTGGATGTCAAATCTGCTTGCACCTTCCAGGATGAAGTGAGGCGGATCCTCTGATAAGTCCTTACAAAAAGACAATGAAATGCTATGAGCTTCTCTCATTCCTTTTTGCCTCAATGTGGTACCCACAGCATCATTAACTTTGCCTTTGAGAGACAGAGGTTAATTATTAAATAGATGCTTACCGTATGAATTAGGAAAATTTCCTTTGTTCTTCAGGTTTTATGGCTCTTGGGAAAGCAAGTGTCAAAGGGGTGTGTATGGAGCTGACAAGACAGGCAATAAACGCACAAAGAAACTACACAAGGAGACTTCATAAATAAGGTTTGAAGATCTTTATATCAAATAGTCAGCCTGTCTGCTCCCAACAAGCCTGTGTTTTATTAGACGGTTATAAACAAATAAAAGTGAATAGGATCCATTCGTCAGAGGAGACTTGGAGAAATACCAGGACTACACTTTTTCTGAGTAAAGCTTTTCCTGGGAAATGGTGGTCTTAGTTAGGGTTTCTATTGCTGCTACGAAACACCATGACCAAAAAGGAAGTTTGGAAAGAAAGGGTTTATTTGGCTTATACTTCCACATTGCTGTCCATCATTGGAGGAAGTCAGGACAGGGACTCAATCAGGGGAGGATTCTGGAGGCAGGAGCTGATGCATAAGTCATAGAAGGGAGCTGCTTACTAGCTTGCTTCCCCTGGCTTGCTCAGGTTCTTATAGAACCCAGGACCACCAGCCCAGGGATGGCACCACCCACCATGGACTGGGCCTTCCCGGATTGGTCACTAACTGAGAAAATGCCCCATAGCTGGATCTCATGGCGGCATTTCCTCAACGGAGGCTCCTTCTGCTCTGATGACTCCAGCTTGTGTCAAGTCGACACACAAAACCAGTCAGTCCAACAGCATACTTCAGAAATCATCTTGGCCATTCCCACCTCTAGATTCCAGTCCACTGACATGCTACACAGGACACAAGCTTTGAATTACCCAGATCTTTGCCCACCCCTCACCTATTCACAGACTGAGTCTGGGAATCCTCCATCCACCCTTGGCATCTAGCCCACACACACTTCCCGGCCACAAAAGAAGAACGCTCCAGTGTCAAAGAGGGACAACATCTGGGCAAATTCGGAGGACTCTCAGCAGATGTGAATATTATAAAATCCCTAAGGGGGATCTCCAGACACTAGGCTCCAACTCCAGGGCCCACGCGCCCTCTAAATTTGTTTCCTTTAAGGAGGCCATGGGGTTTTCGCCTGTAACCTCTCTGTGAGGCTCTTCTACTGTATATGTTTGCATCATCTGGTAACTCTTCCACAACTGTATCCTCTCACATTGAAACATAAGTCCCCAGAGAGCAGGGCCCTAGCATCCACAAAAGGACAGAGACCTACTGTTGTTGGTTGTTTTTGTTCTTTTGGGGGTCCACCATCTAGCTCCCAAATAAATCACACACACACACATGGAGGCTTATTCTTAATTATAAATGCCCAGCCTTAGCTTGGCTTATTTCTAGCCAGTTTTTCTTAACTTTAAATCATCCTGTCTATCTTTTTTTCCTCGGGGCTTTTACCTTTCTCTATTTCTGTATACTTGGTCTTTCCTTCTTACTCCATGGATGGCTGTGTAGCTGGGTGGCTGGCCCCTGATGTCCTCCTTCTTTTCTCTTGCTCCTTCTCCCTTCCTCCGAGATTTCTCCTCCTATTTATTCTCTCTACTTGCCAGCCCTGCCTATCCTTTCTCCTGCCTTGCTATTGGCCATTCAGCTCTTTATTAGACCATCAGGTAACACAGTTACACAGTAACTGTAACACAGCTTCACAGAGTTAAACAAATGCAACATAACAGAATGCAACACATCTTTGCATCATTAAACAATTGTTCCACAGTATAAACAAATGTAACACACCTTAAAGTAATAGTCTATAACCTACACCATAAATAACCCTCTCCACCTGTCATGTGCTGCCAGAGTTTCCTAGTGAAAACATGGACTGGAGACAAACAAAGGTGCACCCACCTGCATTTTCTCAAGCAAGGGCATCTTCCTACCAGCCTTCACTCGCTTTCTTGGAAGTGAATTGACCCCGTTAGATGCCAGGAGAAACACAGTTTGGCTCTCCAATAGGCCCTCTGTTGTAACCAGGTCCCCAATTCACACAAGTAGGAAAAACTGCTCCAAGGGACCATGGTCCTGTGCACTGGCTGTGGAGTTCATTTTAAAACAATGTGGGTGTACTTCATTGACCATGGATTGTCTTTTTCTACTGGGAAAAGGCGCTAGAGGTCTCAAAGGAGGTGCTATCTGAATGAAGACACTCAATGGTGATGCTCCACTCACAGGACTTGAAAAAGAAGGTGGAAGCCTGGGGAGATAGTTCAGTGGCAAAGTCCTTGCCTTTCAAGCAAGTACGATGATCTGAGTTTGGTCCCCAGACTCTATATTAAAGGCCTGCTCAATGCGAAGGAAGCCATGCTTGGTACCTGAAACCTAGCCAGCTACACAGGGCTAGTAAAGCCAGGGATCTTGGAGGAGAAGCTGTAACTGCTACTTTACTAAACCAGTGTAATCCCTAACTACATTCTAAATATTTGTCTTTATACACACAGATCAGTATAGTTTCCACTCGCCATCCAAGAAACTTCTCTTTGCAAGAGATGGAAACCAACCATTACAGAAAACCAGAACTGGTCAAAACGCAGCAAACAAGAGATCCTGTGGTGCCCAGTCTCAATGGATACATCTACAACACAATTCCGGAACCTGAGACTCAGGGATCACTGAGGAAGAGGGGGCAGAAAGATTGTAAGAGCCAGAGGAACAGGAAGCAGTTTGCTGTGAGATTGTGTCTCCTAGAATGCCAGATCCCATCTCCTCAACATGGCTGCCCAAACATGAGCGGAACAGTGACGGTACCAACAGACATGCTAACAGGGCAGGGGAAAGCCCATGAGGTCTCAACACTAGACAGAAAACGACAGGCCGCCCAGGAAGGCTGAGAACAGGAGAAGAGAACAGGAGAAATAGTCTTCCCCCGGGGAATAGCCCCCAAATTGGTTACTCAATACTGAATGGTCAGCCCTGGAATCACATACATATAAGTAACATTCTATGGACTGATCAGGTTGCATTTATATTTTAGGAGTGTATGTGTGTGTGTGTGCACATGTTTGTGTGTAACAACAATTAAAGAAAAAGAGGTCATGAGTTTGAGAGAGAGCAAGGGGAAGAGGTACATGGGAGGGATTACAGGGAGGAAACTGAAGGAGGGAATGATGTAATTATACTTTCATAACTTATAAAAATAATAGAAGTATATATGTATAAATACATACACACACACACACACACACACACACACAGACACACACACACACACACACACACACACACGCACCAGGAGTGGTATAGTACACTTATAATCCCAGCACCTGGGAGGCAGAGACAGGCAGGTTCCTGAGGCTTACCCTCCAACTAGCCTAGCCTACTTGGCAAATTTCACGTAATAGTGAGAGACCTCATGTCAAAAGTCAAGGTGGATGGTACCTTAAGAAAGGTGACATCTGAAATGGCCCTTTAACTCCCATGTGCACATCTCTACCTGTGACCCAAACACATGCATACACATACATGCGCACATGCATACACATAGAACAGGAGAAGGTGGGGACCACGGTAATTTGGACCAGGAGCACAGCCAATCCTGTAGTTAACCTTATCCACTGTCCAGCTCTTCAGCAGCTGCCCTGTTGACTTTGCTAAGAGGGTGCTGTGTTTGGAAGGTCCCCGCAGACAGACTGCATATGGAATCTTGCCCTGACATTTCTCCCCAGGCGACCTGGGGACCTTGAACACTTTCTTCTTCTTTGCTGTAGCTCAGTTTCCTCATGTGTCACACGGCGACATACATGGAGGAACAGCTGAGCGAATCAAACTCTGAAGCAGGGCGACGGCCGCCATTTTTAAAACCCCCACTAAGCCGTAGATGTTGTCCTCCTAGGCTATGTCCTGCAGGCTCGAACCAAACTCACAAAGTGGGATGAGTCCTTCCATTTGCAAACAAGGAAGGATGTGGAACACTTCAGCACAGCATCTGACAGAGTGTGTGTTCAATAATTATTGATTCCTTTCTCCTGTGTGACAGCCGCAAAATTAAAATGGCTGTGCTCATAGCCTCAAATGCATTCATTATTAAACGAGACAGAATCAAACATAAATTAAGCAGTCAATTCATAGATAATAGAAAGAAAGGGACAAAAATGGGAGGAAGGAAGTGATAAAGAAAACGACCTGTAAGTTATAAAATAAGCCAGAAACATAGCAAGGATAATCAGGTCAATAAATTGTTCTGCTCCGGATAGTGGCTTTACATAGAACTGACCTTTGATAAATATGGAAGAGAAACCCAGGCACAATTAGAAATAAAAATGGGCTTTAGAAATATAAAAGCACAGCAGAAAATTTTATGTTGATCAACTAAAAATACTAATAACTTTCTGAAAACTGATGACGAAATGACTTAAATTAGTAAATAACACCCCAAGTCAATAATCTTGGTCATTATTTTTAAGATTTCAAAGACAATCACCCTTGTATACCTATTTATGTAATTTTCCTGTTGAATTCTCTCCAACTTTCAGGGGGTAAACAAGTCCTGTATCATTTCCAGTTTCAGTTAAGAAAAAAAAAGAACTGTATTGCTGATTAAGAAGTTAGTGGATTCTTATTTATAACCTGAGAGTAAAGACACATACACAAAACATACACATGTGCACACATGTGTGCATGCACACACATGCTGACATCACAAGCCAGACTGACTTAGACTAACTTATTATCATCAAGAAGGAGTTTCCACAGAAATGAAAAGTGCAAGGATATTTTCATTTCAGGATCTCGAATAACACAAAAAAAAGCACTGACATGGGCCCAAAGAATGAAAAATGTAGACTCTTTTGCTAAATGCTATGAAGGCATTTGATAAACACACAACCTTTTACCAAAATAATGGAAGTTATACGCCAAAAACAAAAAGTTACTAGTTATGGGCAGAATAGACCT